TACTATACCTCCGCAGATATCAAATTCCTTGCGATGTGCATAGCCGAACCACGACTCCTAACCGAAATTAAGAAGTCTACTTACCCAAACCACGACTATCTGCAAGCCTGCCACTGCTAGTTCATAGGACCGGTGCGACTGATGGACTTCCATGCTTTGAGGCTCACTCGAAGCAGGAAGTACTGGAAGGAAATGTCTTATCATTGCATAGAAAGCAAGTAAGTACAAGCATTATAGACGTCATAACTACCGTTAAATAGTGGTGGCAGTAGCACCTCAGAGTTGCTAAGGAGCCGCTACTAGCCTCCTGCGTCTGACTGGGTAGCGAGTAACGAGTAACGAGTAGCGAGTAGCGAGTTACGCGTGCGCGTTGTGGGCGCATGCACGTGTACCGGGTAACGCCTTCCGGATGGAGCCGCCGGTAACGCGTTCGACTGGGCACTTTGCCACCTCGATTTTTCCGTGAAAAAAAAGGTCATAGTCACCCTTACCTGGAAAGTTCATAACGTCTGGCGCAAGGTTTCCTTCGCTATCATAACCTGTCTCGCTTTCAAACCAGCAGTCGTCTAGGACTCTAGGATAAACAATATTATCCCCGCGAACTGTGAACATTCAATGACTGCTCTTGCAATGCGGATGTGGAAATCACCACCATGACAACGCTGTCTGCACATTACATGATGTACAGCGGATCCATTCGAGAACGCTGTTATACCCAGCCGCGGGGAATACTAGTGATATTCGAATGTTGTAGAATCATGCATCCTTCATAGCAATAGCGAAACCCATGACTGAGCAGGACTTGTGGTCAAGGACCCTTGTCGTCCTCGCGAATGATTCAGCCACCGGAAGAAGTTGACGGACACGAAACAATTCGAAATCGAAGCCGTCTTTGCTCGGTTGTCCTCGGTTGTCACAATCCCTCCACCTTGGCACGACTCGTATACTTATATAAACATGCGACCCCGCCCCCGACGCGACATCTCCTCCTCCTCGACCCTTCCGTTTCCGTTGAAGGTGTCGCTCTGTTACCCACAAATCCCGGCTGGTTAATACGACCAGCTACGACATTCTTTACCTGTCACTCTTTTGAAAGTGTAGCCGTCTGATCATGAAAGTCAACATGAACTTTTCCGGCCTTCTGGCTGCCGTGGTCCTGGCTGTGTCCCTCGGGACGCCCTCTGATGCGCGCCCTGCACCCTCGGGTTCGGGCCTTGTGACGGTCCCCATCACCCGCATCCACAAGACTAGCCACCGGGACATTATTGATACCCAAGCTGTGCGTGTCGCCTCGCGCTGCAGTAAATACAGTGGTCTCATCGTCAGTCATATAGATTCATCTGCAACATGTTAACCGCGGAAACCAGCGCCTGGCCCTCATGTCGGGTCGCCCTGCCCCCACCCCCGAGGAATTGCAGGAGATCCACCGACGCACAGGCGAGCTCCCGGCCGACTTGAGCAAGCGGTACTGGCGGGAGGGTGTTGTGAAATGGCTCGAGGACCTCAAGACCCAGATGAAGGGCGCCGGCTCTGCCATGTCCAAGGTCGAGAGTTTCATGGACACCGACGGCTCCGGCTCTAGCTCTGGGGGATTCAACCCGATGGATTTGGATGCCGCGAACGAGAACACTTTGACCCCCGCGAACGCTCCATCGTATGATCATTCCCTTGGTTTAGATATCTCGTAAGTTCGGGTTCCTACTTCGTGCGTATACATTAATAATATTGACTTGTAGTGCCAATGACATTGGGTGTCCGTGCAGTATTTTTTTGATGTCAACCTTGTTCGTTTACTGATGAATTACACAGATCTCGCAACCATTCAGATCGGGACTCCCCCTCGGGACTTCAAGGTCCTGGTCGACTCCGGCTCATCCGACCTCTGGGTGGGCGCCGAGAACTGTGCAGCTAACGGGGGAGGCAGCTGCGTGCGTTGCTCTCAGACAATGGATACACCATATACTTACCCACGCCCGCGGTTCCAGGGCAACCACACGTTCATCGGCTCCAGCAGCAGCACCTCCTTCAACGACACCCAGAAGACCTGGGCCATCACATACGGATCCGGGTTCCTCTCGGGTACCATTGCCCAGGATGACATTGAAATCGCGGGTATGAAGCTCCCTGCCCACCAGTTCGGCGCGGCTCAGAACGAGAGCTCGCAATTCACTGGGTAAGGGTCCGGCGTCGTGCGAAAACATCAAGTTACTAACATGTCGTTATGCAGTTCAGATACCCTCTTCGATGGTATCATGGGCCTGGGGGGTTCGGTACGTATTTGCTGTGCTGTTCAGTGCCATGTGCTGACCATCGTGGTAGCAACTCTCCAACCAAGGGATCCCCACCATCGTCGAGGCTCTCCACAGCGCTGGGCTCATCCAAGCACCGGTCACTTCATACAAGCTAGCCCGTCTGGCCGATGGCAACAATGACGGAGAGATCACCTTCGGCGGCATGGACCCTGCCAAATTCGATGCTTCGAGCAAGGTCACCGTGAAGAACGTCAGCCCCAAGGGATACTGGGAGGCGAACGTCGACTCCTTCAAGGTTGATGGCAAGGATGTCAATTTGTCTGGGAGGACCGCTATCCTGGACACTGGCACCGTGAGTTATTTACCACCTAGTCGTGTCAAATTCTAAAGTAGCTGAGGATAATGTCTTCAGACCTTGATCGTAGGCCCTGGCCTCGTAAGCCCTGTCTACTTACAATGAACCGCGTTCAACGTCTGATCGCATAAACAGGATGTCGACGCGCTTCACGAGGCGATGCCCGTCTCCCGCTTCGACGGGTTCAATTGGATCATCCCTTGCACTACAACCACCAAAGTCTCCCTCACTTTTAGTGGCAAGGAGTTCGAGATCGACTCCCGGGACCTGACCTTCCTGCCCGTCTCCTCCACCAACTTGACCGGTGACTGCTACTCCTCGATCACGAGGGGCACCGTAGGAGGCGACCAAGAGTGGCTCGTGAGTACTCGTTCAACCACTTCTCGTAGTAGACGGGATTCTGACAACTCGTGCAGGTCGGAGACGTCTTCCTGAAGAACGTGTACTTCTCCACCGATGTCGGCAGTAACGAGATATCGCTCGCGTCGCTGGCATGAACGGACTCGTATCAGCTATCCGATGACTATACCTGGATCTGATGATACCATCTGTGGCATTCTTGCTCTGTACACTGTGATAGCTTTGCATTATAACGGCGTTATAACACGTCCTTATTGCACGTAGAAACCATCTATCCGGACAGGTGGATAAACGGATGGCTCCTTCTCACAGCAGTTGAGACAGCCTTGACCTCCAGCAAAAAGTCTGAGCACGACTGTGGCAAGTCTTTAGAGGATCGAAGGGCGAATCCCCCACCATATTGCACATATTGCATAAATACCAGTACCTCTATGGTCTTCGATCGTACATGCATAAAATTGAGCCATAATAAACAAGAGCAACGAATAGAAAACATTGTGCGATAGGGGACCTATGATACGGCTTGAAGTGGGGCGAGAGGGGATTATTGATGAATTGTGGTAGCGCTGGAAGGAATGGCGGCAGAACTTTCCCAGAAGGATGAGAAATGCAAGGAACAACAGGATGGACAAGAGACACAGATTTTCGAAAGCGAGCGACCAAGGCAATGCTACAGTATAATGCGGATATCCAGGTTGACGAGGGATCCAGACCAGCGGTGCAAAACCGACGATAATTGGCTACAGTTCGTTCGAAACAGATACAGAGAAATAAGGATGATTGAGAGCCTCCCGGACACTGATGCGTTGAGCAGGGTCGAACGTCAACAACTTCCGCACGAGATCCAGGAAGTGCCGGTTGAGCGTGTCAGTGGGAGGTATGATTTCCTGTGAAATTATAGACTAAGCAACTGTTACCAGACCAGCCCTGAGAAAGTCCATTCAACGTACCTGAAGGCTTCTGCATGCTCGGACATCTTTCTTGCTCTGTCTGGATGCTTTCGCTTTGGGCCAATCTAGCTTCGCGCCGTCCTTGAAGAATTCTGGCTTGGACCGAGCACCCGCCCTTGCGAATCGATCTGGCATTTTCCCCATAACCTGCTCCATCATGGCCAGATGCTCCAGATTATCGTGCGTCTGGAACAGTGCAACACCTGTATAGAACTCGACCAGGATGCAACCCAGTGAGAAAGCATCGCAAGGGTAGGACCAGCCCAGGCCTGCCACCGTATGTCAGGATGTTGCTGGTTTGCACTGGGTAAAATACTCACCTAGGATGATCTCCGGAGCCCGATAATGTCTCGTTGAGACGACCGTAGAGTGGTATTCTTCCTCGAAAGTGGCCGAGCCGAAGTCTATGAGACGAATGTCGGTTGAATTCAGAATCCTCTTGTGCTTAGGTGGCGCGTTCCGCTGGGCCTATGTTAACTAGGAATTTGTATATTGGCGCGGGGAACGTACCTTGCCAGCAACTTGAACAGGCACTGTCGTGTAGTCGTTCTTGACAAGCAGGATGTTCTCCGGCTTTAAATCAGTGTGGATGAGATGTAAGTCATGTAGAACTGGAAGGCGGCAAATGAGCGTCGGCCAACGGCCAGCATTCCTATGCATGAGCGACTTACATGCCACGCTGCCGAGGAGCTGTTTGGCGAATGACTGAATGTGCTGTCTCGGGAAGGGAGCAAACTCGTTCTCCTTCAAGAAATCGTAGATGCACATCCCGAACAGCTCAGAGACGATGCAAATATGGTTCCGATGATCGAACCATCGGAGGAGATGAATACATTTGCTACAGGTTACTCAGCACCTATCGACGGCGGAAAGTGAGGAATATCTTACTGTAAGTTCTCCGGATCGCGCTCCTTCAGCTTTTGCAGGACGCGAACTTCGATCTTGCTGGCATCACGATACTTCTGGATTGCACGAATGATCTTTATGGCCACTCTCTTGTTCTCATACTCGTCGACAGCCTCGACGACTTTGCCGAAAGTGCCCTGACCCAAGAGCCTGACAGTTCGATCTGTGAATCGATGACGTTAAAATGCAAAATACACGAATAAGCAGCACGAGTGAAACATACAGCGCTTGTTGATAAGGTCATCGGGGACGATGATATAGTGGCCCTCCTTATCGTCACAGGGGACATGCGTTTTCTGATGTGGCATGAGAACGAGTCAGGCGCCAACTGAAACATGAATTAGAGGACGCACATCATCGACAGCACCATTTGTATTTGGCCATGCCTTGTGGGCCGCGGATGGTGGTGGCCGTTTGTTCACAGCTGTCGGGATGTTATCTGCAGGATCCCGCTTCCTCTTCTTATAGGCGGGGACGACCACTGAGGAACTACTACTGCCCTGGGCCTCGGCGGCAGCTCGAGCCCTAGTCCTGATGGGTGCATTGAGGACGGGCGGCTGGTAGGACGCAGAATACACGTTGCTTCGCGTTGTGGTGGCAGGAGATGCGGTAGGCGGGGGCGGTGTATCCTCAATAACGATGACGTCCCGTAGCCTGCCGTCGTTATCGACCTCCTGGACTTCGCTATAGTTGACAGTGAATTGACGAGCGCGCTTCCGTTTGCGTGTGGCCACAGCGACGGGGGGCGTTGGGACCGCCGTCGATGTGGTGTTGCCTCGGCCATTGATGGATGAGCGCGGGTACATGGGAAGCAACGACGGAGGCGGTAGATGGACCGCTGTCTGCATGGTTTGTGTGAGTGCGAACGCCGTCGTGTACGATGTTGAGGGGTCAAAGTCAAGTGGTGGTTGGAGGAGAACAGAACGCGGGTGCCCAGCAATAAGAGTCTTGCCCACGGCCGGGGCTGGAGCAATGTTGACGCTTGTTTGGCGCTCAGCCACCTCGTCCCTCCGTTGGCGCTCCGCCACCACTGCAATCCATATCTATCTACTGCGAGTAACGAGGGACGAATTGTTCATTTCCCTCGACTCGTCGTGTATTATCTGACTGGAATTCGTTGCTTTCGCAGTCGCCTCCTCGGGCGAGGGCCGGGAGACGTGGCATGTTTATTCCCGCAGCCATTCATGCCCATTTTCTGCCATGGTCCGAGCGCGTCAACTCGTCAGGCAACTGCCGTCCAGCCCATCCCCCAAACGCAGCATCTGATTTTATCGAGCGGCTTATTCATTCCAAAATACGCAATCGGGGAAGCGCACGTTCCCATCTGCATTATATGTCCTGGTCCGGCTCTACGATCCTGTGTGCAGTGGGCCGTCTCCGGCACGCAGCGTCAGCTGCATCGCTATGATCTGGTCAAACATAGGATGGCTTCCTCTGAGTCTCTCGGCCCAGAACGAGCCTCACGGGATTCATCAGGCTATGACACCGAGCAGAACGGTCACCATTCAGCTTGTACATTTCTGGAGGTCTGTGTATTCCACACACCCAATCATCGCATGTCCCTTTGGCATGGCTGCTACTCATCGCACATGTGGACTCACATCAAGAGCTTTACTTGGTTGCTGCTTGTACCCTTTCCCATGTTGCGAATCACGGGCGGCGCCGAAGCTAGCAGACGTCTAACGCACGGCTCTGACATATACCGAGCATTCACCGGTGCATATCGTCGGAATGATGTGATGAGACCTCGGTTCAGGGCGCGGCGGGAATGAGAGAAGCAGGACGCCCGGCTCCTCGAATTCGACATACTTATGCATTCGTACATGAAGCATGCCCCAAAGTATGCACATCGATGACAGCCTGTGCGGCTGCCAACAGGCGTCAGCAGTTGCGAAACACCCACTTGCTAACATTCCGGAGACGGGGATTTGTATCAGAGGCAATGCCCTCCGGGTATGCATAAGCAGGCTATAAAGATGTAACATATGTCATACTTGGAATTGGAACCTCGAGATTCTGTCTTTCAGGGAAGTAATAGTCACCGACCGGTCACCGGGTCAATCCTCGAGTCGATTTCGGTTTGTCGTCTTGTAATTATTGCCAGACGCCAGTGTGGCTAGAATGTGGCCGGAGCCTTGAGAAGTGGTGCCGACATTCGCAGATCCGCCGCGGGATACACAGAACCAAACACTCTCCAACAGCGAGCTCGACACGCTCGACGGTGAGCAGCCCGTTGCATGTACACTTTTTCCGTGACATCAACGACGTACAGCTGTCTCTTGTAATGCGCCATGCCAGGGTTGCCATTCCCATCAGACCCAGTCTACGCCCGAGAGAACTCCTTCGACCCGGGAGCCAGCACGCCACTCAGCAACGTTGACGATGTTCCCATCGACCCCGCCTTGAACGAGACTCCAATAGACCCCGCCATATTGGCGGAGGAGAAGGAGGGGGATGCGGAGGGACAAGTAAGTGTTTCAAGATTGATCGCAGCGTTGTGGCGAGGCACCAGAGACGCGTCGCGTCGCGTGTATGTAATGTGCAATAACATGTCCTCTCTCTGGCCTAGCCTCAGCAGTATCCAGCGGAGTCCTCTGAAGAGCACTCCAAGCACATGTCCGTCCACCTCGACCAGTACTCCCTCGGTCCTCAAGGGGATCCATTCGCCCCCCCTCCGCCCGCTTACTTCGTTCCCGAGGAACCCGTACACCCCCCTAAACCTGTGAAGAAGAAGAGGAAACCACGAAGAGAACCGGAATGCGGGTTTTGCCAGGGGAACGATGCGAAGAACAAGATCGGAGAGCCGGAGAGGATGGTCAGTTGCGACGAATGCGGAAGGAGCGGTACGCACCTATGCGCTTCATACATGTTCTAATCCCTTCATCTCGGGTCCGTTAGGTCACCCGTCCTGCATGCAACTTGACGAAATAAGTGAAAACATACATTTATACCCGTGGAAGTGTATGGAGTGTAAGAATTGTGAGATTTGTCAAGAGAAGGGGGACGATGTGCGTTGAGTGACCCTCTCAGTCTTCTTGAACTCACCACTTTAGATTGTCTAGAGCCGGATATTATTCTGTGACTTCTGCGACAGAGGTTGGTACACATCCTGTAGCATGATAGTCTTGCTCACCACAGGTTGCTAGGCTGGCATATGGACTGTCTTGACCCCCCACTGGCCGAAGAACCGCCAGGCAAATGGCATTGCCCTCTATGCCCACCTCTACCACCCGATTTCCCTGAAGAACCCACTACGCCTCAGCCCGATCCGAATCCTGACTACAGGGAGTCATCGGCTCCCTCCACCTCGTACTCAATACCAGATCATAAGGGTAAGGGCAAAGAGAACGGTATTGTCACGGACGACTCGGACATGGACGTGGACGTGGACGTGGACGGTGAAGAACATCTGCAGCCATCAAAGAGCAGGAAAAAAGCAGGGCGAAAATCCAAGGCGCGTCCTCGGGCTGACCAGGCAACGCCCGGCGGGCCGTCGTCGCGGTCAACTGGCAAGCGCATGCGTATCAAGATACCTACCTCTCCGGATCAGACTCCGACTCAGAGGCGAATGGTAGTGCGGTTGAGGCTACCGCCTCGCGACAAGGGCAAAGAGAAAGAGGACTCGGATGGAGAACCCCCGAAAGGACTTTTTGATGATGTCCTGAGCGTGGAAGAGAGGGATACTTCAAAGACATCCATAGAAGTCGGTGATAAAATACGATTTGAGAGAAGTCGTGCTTTGGCTGAGGTACGCCTTTGTCTGTGGTAAACTTGCTCGCAATTGCGGAGCTGATGCTTAAACGATGTTTAGGCAAAGCTTAATCCACCCAATCCTCCCATCTCGGAAGAACCACAGACTCCTATTGCCGGCCCCTCTTCGAGACCCCTACGCTCTACAATGAACCCCCGCTCGATGGCATTGTCTGCTCCGTCACCCGGGCCATCAGCCTCGCCAGCTCCGTCCACGCCTGCGACAGATTTGACCAAAGTGGACTCTTCTTCTAGGCCGCTACGAATACGAACCATCCGGTTTGGCGAGTACGACATACAGACCTGGTATGACGCGCCCTTCCCAGAAGAATATGCGAATATTTCGGACGGACGCTTGTGGATCTGCGAGTTCTGCCTGAAGTATATGAGAAGTCGCTTCCAAGCAGTGCGACATGCGGTGAGTTGTCTGTCGACCTCATATATGCGCCGACCTCACACCGTCGCCATAGACGAAGTGCAAGGCTCGACATCCGCCTGGGGACGAAATCTATCGAGACGGGTCGGTGTCCATCTTCGAGGTTGATGGTAGAAGAAACAAAGTAGGTCATGGCATGTATGACATCCCTGCCTCGCTAATACTCGTTCAGATATACTGCCAAAATCTCTGTCTCCTTTCGAAGATGTTTCTGGACCACAAGTCTCTTTTCTACGACGTGGAGCCTTTCTTGTTTTATGTCATTACAGAAGTAGATGACGTTGGCGCACGATTTGTCGGGTACTTCAGTAAAGAGAAGCATAGCCCGAAGGACTATAATGTCAGTTGCATAATGACCCTGCCTGTTCGCCAGCGGAGGGGGTGGGGAAACTTGCTGATAGACTTCAGTACGTCCGACATTGACCACATCGCTGGAATTGATGGCAATACTGACCCTTGTCCCATAGGTTACCTTTTATCCAAGAAGGAACGTCGTGTTGGTTCACCGGAGAAACCTCTGTCTAGTTTGGGAGCTCTAAGTTACAGAAACTACTGGACATTAGCTATCATGCAATACTTGAGGACTGCTCCGGACAACCCAAGACTGGAAGGTATGCGCTCGTGTTTGCTCCTGCGGAATCCAATTCTCAACCCGGCCCAGATATCAGTGCGGCCACGTCTATGACGCTGGAGGACATATATAATACCTTGGTGCAACACAAAATGATCACCATCAAAGAGCATACACCCCCCTCCCGACCAGCGCCCGGACAATCTATCAAGTTTATCCGCGGACGTAAGAACGGCGTCGCTCGGCGTCATCTACAGCGGACGCAAACCCAGGAGGAGGAAAAGCCGCATGGGCCATTCGCGCCACCTAAAGACTATATTATCTCATGGGATCACGAACAGGTTGATCGATACCTCAAGAACTGGGAATCGAAGGGTTACCTCCGACTCAAGCCGGAAAAGCTGAAATGGAGTCCTTTCCTTCTGACAAGGACGAAACACTCGCGAATATTCGGGGATCCCATGGAGCAGGACCCTGTGGCTGGTCCTTCCCTGGCCAAGGCTGAGCCTTTTCAGATGGATCTGGAATTGTCAAGACCGGCAGCGGGTCCTTCGACGCCTCGCATGGATGCTTTACGTGGGAGTGAGAACGTTCGCACGGAGTCGCCGGCGGCTGCTCTGTTCGATGGAGATGTGGAGGTAACAGATGCGCGATCAATTCCCGTCACGCCTTCGAATGCGCCTGCCCCTGTCCAAAACTCCTCCAGCCCGGTTCCGTCTGAAGATGAAGGTAGTCTCCGCCGGGGCCTTAGGTCGTTAGCGGTATCAACGCCGAAATCACCCACAGCTCGTAGCCTCCGTACTCGCGCCCAGTCTGCTCGAACCCCTGTTACTTCACCCGCGCTCTCTCGTACAAGGTCGGCACCTGCCAAGATTGCGAAGGTCAAGGATGTGACCAACGGCTCGACTATTTTGAGTGACGAAGCGCTTGCTGCGCAGCTTGCGCGAGAGGGTCTCCGTCAATTGCGGTCGAGGTCAGCGGCAAACGTGCTCCAAGACAGCGAGCGCAAACGCGCAGGCTCTATCTCATCTCCTAGGCCGGTTTCTCCTCGTAAGCGCCGCAGGATAGACTCCTCGCCCGAGCTGGACCTTCCCATGAATGGACAGAGCTCTGCCACAGACGTTCGTCTCGCAGCGCCTAACCCGCGGAATGCCAGACGGACGTCCACATTCCTGAATGGCAGCAGGACGATTCCCGAAGAAGATGCGCCGGCGCTTGCCACTCGTAACGAGCCCGACAAGAGGCCATCGCCAGCGGCCGACGTCAAGTCGGAAGATATGAGCACGCCGTCCACGGCAGTGGCGAGCCGTCATAGCGTTCCGAGCGAAGATACTAACGTGGAGATGGAATCGTCCGACCCGCCGGATAAGCAGAAAGGCTTTCATGACGATGTTCCGATGGCCAACCCGGATGATGGCACTACGAGCGACATTGATGCAGAGGGAGAGCTAGATGCGGAAGGAGACCCGGATGACGAGGCCTTGTAGTTCTAGTGATAGTTCACCCCTCACTTCTCACATATCGTATGTTATGGTTTTACTTTTGATAATTGCACTGTAGCCCACATGTTTTCTTCCTTTGTGTATCGATTCAGAGTAGTCCTTGCTTTCTGACCTATCATTATGCATATCCTCAACGCTCATTCCAGACTTCCAATTGAAGTATGTCTATCGCTACACCGATTATCGTACATGGTAGGTCGTGTTTACAGTTTAGCACTATGGTGATGATTGTCTTTATTACGTGTATGTATCAAGAATACGATATGCGCATACCTCACTCTTTCTTCGCATTCTCTAGATCAATACTCCTCTTTTCGTCGCCGCCCTTGACGCCCTTGTACTTTGGCATCGTGCTACAAACGTATCGTCAATATATCTGACATGAGTGGTATGCTTTTCGAGACTTACCCTGGCTGGTCCGATAATTCTTGCAGCAGTTCCTAGATACAGTCAGATTACTATTGATATGTTGTGCAATACAACTTGAGGAAAACCTACGCTTGTGCCCTTATGGCCCGACCATTTGGGTCTGGAATATTATAGTGAGCACAGTATCTCAAAACTTCAAGCGTTTACTCACATTCCATCAGGTACCTCCATCACTCTGTACATTAACTCAGTCAGCAACGGCTCCACCTATGAGCGTTGTCAAAACTGCAAGCTTACCTCTCGCTGTAGAATATGTGACAGCTGGGCTGGAAGTCCAGCGGTACCTTTCGATCCTTAAACTTAAAACTGCCCGGGTAAGCGAGGACGGTATTACGCCCTTCATCGAAGAGGGGAGAACGACATTGGTCACAAGACACCTGATACCATCAAGAGTCAGTGGGTTGCGTTGGTGTTCGGGGGCGGTGACTACAGACTTTACAAGGAACGTAGTGGCCCTCCGTGCGTCTACGGTGAGCCAGTCAGGTTGAGTGCTCAATCAGACGTGGCTGACATGACGTACAGTGCAGTGCTGAAGAAATGCAAGCTGTTCTTCTCATTCTTGACCAGACGAACAGAAGTCTGTCACCGAGATATACGTCATTGGATGTCCAGAGATCACATTCTTACGCGTACCTTCGGGAAGATAACCGCCCATTGGAACGGCGCACCTAAAGGAGGATGAAATAGCCGTTCTGCGTCGCACGTAAATGGCCGACGCACCGTGAAGGCTCTGGCATTGCCGACAGTGACAATGTTTGGCGTCTAGTGGGTTTCCATGGAATTCAAATACAACTGCGTGACAGACATGTCAGCAAAGGAATCGACGAGCGACCTGTATCAAGCGACGAACCATTGCCGCACCAGCACTGACTACTCAGCATTCGTCAACTCGTTTGTTCATGAGTGCTGATAACTAACATATTAGACTTGCCTCGTATAATGAGCCTCGAATTTATCCCCCTCTGACTTCCAGAAGTACGGCGGCTTGTTCATGAAATCCTTCTCGCCGTCACCGCCCTCCTGACTGGGAATAGTAGGCTGTCCCCTCCAACCAGTATCTGGCCAGGGCTTCTGCAATTCAGTCTTCTGACTGGGGTCGTCCGCAGGCGGAGGGTGAGGGATACCCGAGTGTTCGCCAGGCTTGTACTCGCCCTCAGCGTTCGGATGGATCTGAGGCATCTTGGACGCGTTTCTCGAAGCAATAAAGGGTCTTTGGCAAGTTCGTACTGCTCTTCTGGTTGCAGAGGTAAAGCGAGATGAAAGCATCGTACGGAACGCGCCCTTGTATGCGCCATTTTGTAGGACTGTCCATGTGACGTCAACTTCAATGGAGTCGATCCTTGCCGCCGGTCAAGTTCGTAAAAGCGTAGGCGTGGGAGACTACCACGGGGAAATACGAGGTTATTATTTGACACTATTTGCCTATTTGGCATGCATGACCGTGGGAACGTCGGTATGCCTTCAAAGGTCATGCGCCGCTTTGCCGCGTGCGCTCAAAGACACCACGGACGACGAGCGCGGGCCCCTCTACACATTTTCCACGACAATGTCGACGACAGTCCTCGAAGGACCAGTGCCGGGGCCTTCTACATCCAACCGACGCAGGCGAACTTCCCCAGAGGTCATCGATGTCGACGAGTTCGACGGCGACGACGTCCAAATCGTCGGCAACTCTAGGCCAGCCCAGCGTAGACGACTAGACTATGCAGAATGGGTGGCCGACAACGACGATGCGCAAGCTACTGCAGCCCGAGTACGCCGTCTGTCTCCCCGCCGCATCGCCAGTGCGTATATTTCCCAGACTTTGTACTTTCATAGCCAACTTCTCAGACTACGTTCTCTCTACAAAGGACAACGCTCTCGCGTCTTCTCACCCGCACCACGCCCTGTAGACAGATCAGTTCCGCCAGTCCCGCCACTTCCCCCTTATCTCGCCAGGGAGCATATGCCTCCAATGCGAATGAGACCCCCGCCGTTTCCTGGAGAGCCTGGCCCGGTTCGTCCCAGTGCCCAGCCTTTAGCTTTTGAAGCTAATATCAGCGCCCCCATCCGGCGCGTGCAGTCACCTCCGCCTGCTGCTGCCCCACCATCCCACCACCATCCCGTCATGGGTTTTGGTGGCGCCCTTCTCGCGCTTAATCGGCAGAATGCCGTTGCAGAGAATATTGCCGCCCAAAGACAGCAGGATACCTTACGACGAAGACAGCAGGCGATGGAAGCGCGGAGCAATAACTACCGGATGTCCTGGAATCTGCCCTCTCTGGCTCAGGCAACAGGATTCTTCGCTGACATGTTTCGCGGTTTTGCCCCTCATCCTCAGCGTCATCAGGACGGTCCTCTCATGGAAGAAGACCGTTTCCACGACTGGATGGACTTCATGGGAGGTTTGGGGTATGATGAGGACCAAGAAGCCTTCGATTTTCCCTGGGGAAGGGGACACGGCCCTTTCCCGCACCCATACCGTCGTGAACGACGAGCCGAGATCGACTACAAGCCGGAGTACACCCATCCTGGGAAGCCTGAGCCAGGGTTCTCGTTCGATTTCAATCCTCCCGCTCCTCCGTCCAAGTCAGTCATTGTCATAGACGACTCGCCTGGACCTAGCACAAGTGGGAGCTTGTCCGCGGAGGAGACGAGCAGTGTTCTGGTGTGTGCTCGCTGCTTGGATCCCCTAATCATGGGCAGTGGCTCCGAAACAAGCGAGGAGGCACAACGGAAGAGACGCATCTGGGCTTTACGATGCGGCCACATGCTGGATGGTAAATGCATCGAAGTGTTAATGAAGCCTGGACCGGAACGTCTACAGGATGAAGCGGAGCAAACGGCAGAAAAAGACAAAGGCAAGGCACCTGCCTCAGCTCCGTCAGAGGCATCGCCGCCGACGAAATACACAGGGAAGGGTAAGGCGAAGGCCACTCCCGTTCCAGATTCGAGTAGCGCAATCCAAGAAGATGCTGCATACAACACTGCCTCTTTTGTGCCTGTCGGGGATTCTGCCAGACCTGAAGCAGGAGCCGGTAGCACCTCTATACGCTCTCGACTTAGGAGTCATAATGCCCTGGCACCTGGACCTGAGGCCCCCGTCCCCACTAACACTGCTCCGCGCCGCGCTCACGCTGCTCCAGCAAGACCTATGCGACGTCTTCCTCGTCGGTCGCGAGCTGTGGGAACGGAGTCTACCGGCAATCCACCTGCGCCTGCACCCGCGCGTGGTAGAGGCAAAGGGAAGGCAAAGGCTCGACAGCCTGTCGTGGAACGCTTGTACGAGTGGACATGTCCGGTCGCTGGCTGTGGGAAAGTCCATGCGACTTTGTTGATAGACGGGAAGTGGACGGCGGATCCTGAGAGGGGTGTTATTGCATTGTATGTATAAACTATCAAATGGTGTCTTCAGCATTCTTCGCGCATCCTATACCGATGTAAGTGGCATTAGCGTTGGGAAATCCGCCGTTATTGACCGCGACGTCGCCCTTCCAGCCGACAATCTCAATGGGCCAGATTTCTATCCACAACGACTTCAACTTGCTTCTCTGCGTCGACTGAATTATTGCCTAAAAGCTAATTGTATCGATATTCTCTGATCGTCATCATCCCTTAATGTGCTTCTACAACATCCGTCACTGCCGCATGCTCATCGTGTTTTGCAATAAATGCATATTTATCTCACCAGACATGGTTAATGTTTGGTGTTTTTTTTTCTTTCTGTGTGGGCGCGCTCTGCGGAGGACCATTTCTACAACCATTACTCTACTCCTTGCGTCAATCCCGGGAGTATTGCATGAGAAAGAACCAAGACATCCTCACCGTTGAGTACTGAGTCCTCCGGCTATGCTCGCAGGGGGTATGATTCACACTGAAGGTCAGTCTGCACTCTCTTCGCTGGGAAGAAGCGTGTTCCAGTCCAGTTGTCCGTCGACAACCAGGATTTCTCATTCGGAACTCGTGGTCCCGGTTGTCGTTGACCAAGCGCTCCTACTCACCATCTGACCATAACCACGGGAGCCAAAGACTTGGGATTTGCGTGTCGTACGCATAAAATGCCTCTTTCTTCTGCCTCTTGTTGTACGACCTATCTACTAGAGCCGATCGCAATTGAGTTCACTGCACAATATTGAGGAGTCTAAAGAGTGGCTGCACAAGGTTATGGCGGCGGCGGGTCGATGTTGGAGATGACGCAACAAATGAGGTACGCTTGGCTGCGCGCACTGGCACCCCTGAAACATACCCGGCGGGGGAAGACGAGAAGGTGTAACTTCTCGTTTATGGTTGGTGATATCGATGTAGAAGCACTACCTTTCTCCAAAACTTCCAATATGGCTGAGTTGTCCTTGACGTCCTGCCGCGACATACCATCTCCAGGATGACGCTTGCGCAGTGGACGACGTTTCCTAGGGTGCCTGAGTGTGGCTCACGCTGAGATACATACAAGATCCGACCGTTGGTTAAATCGTCATTTCACTTTTGGCTTGTATGGCGATGGCGTACCGCCGGCACCGCACAACGAGGTCAGATCTGATCGGGCGTCCCCGCCGCCTGTCGTCTCCCCATACGGGGTAGAATACAAGCTAACAAATTTTGCGATAACCGGCGGTTTCATTATGTTGACTTCGTGGAGAACATGATGTCACGTACGTCCTTGGAGTGCACTATCGTTGCCGCACTTGGCGGCTCAACGTCACCCCAAGAAGGGGGTACACTGATGCCCCCATGCCTTGGACACATAAAAGCTGCGGTGGTCAAAGTGTCCGACTTCCATTCAACAACTTACCCTATCCCAGTTCGACGCCCAAGATGCTCTCGCAAACTTTCCGCCGTACGCTCGCCACTGCTGCCGCAAACAGCTCACGACGAGCGAACGGTGTGGCCCTTGTGACAGGTGCCGGACAAGGTGCGTGATTAGGCAGTCTGTATACGGAGCAAGAGTGGCTGATCAAGAACTTCAAACAGGGATTGGGAAGGCCATCGCTACTCGCCTAGCCTCAGATGGCTTCCACATCGCATTGAACGATATTCCCATGAATGAAGAGAAACTCGACGGTGTCGCCAAAGAGATTCATGGACTCAGCGGCCGGAAGACCACCAAAGTACTGGCCGACGTCTCGAAAGAACGTGATGTGAAGCAGATGTTCGATAATACTGTGAAGGACCTCGGCGGCCTCGACGTCATGGTCGCTAACGCGGGAATCGCAATCATTGCCCCGCTACACGACAGTGAGTATACACTGCCGGGATGATAATAAGGCTGGCTGAAGCAATTTATCCGTGAGCCAGCTACTGTGGAGATGTGGGACAAGACGTTTGCCATCAACTGCAGGGGGGTTATGCTCTGCTACAAACACGCCGCGGAGGTCATGAAGAAGCAAGGGCGTGGGGGCCGTATCATAGGCGCTTGCTCGATAGCAGGCAAGAGAGGTGATCCGGACTCCGGAGCATACTGCGCCTCGAAGTTTGCTGTTCGCGGTTTGTCCCAGACCGCGGCGCTTGAGCTTGCGCCGTTTGGAATCAACGTGAACTGTTATGCGCCGGGGGCTATCCAAACGGATTTGTGTAAGTGGCACGAACTCATCAGCAATACCTTAGGGTTAATGAGAGATCCTTTCTAGTGGAAGATATCGATAGAGTTTTCACGGAAACGGAGAAAGAAGCGAGGGGTAGGTGGCTGCAAAAGGTAGGCATCCCGCTACGACGGTCGATTTGTACGGATTGACGTCGCCAACCTCGCAGCGAGCTGTTGGCGTCCCCCTAGGAAGGCTAGGTCAGCCCACCGATGTGGCAAGTATAGTATCGTTCCTGGCAGGGCCCGACTCCACATTCGTGACAGGTATGTCCGCCGCGGCTCAGTTCCAATTCAGCAGTGTTGATTGTATCTGTTGTAGGACAAACCATCACAGTAGACGGAGGCACCCTCTTCGACTAGACGATAGACCAAGAAGTCGCGGCGGACACGTTCAGGCTCAGTTCCATCAAGCAAGGACCCGGAATGTACACTGCACTGTATACTAGATTAACATAGCGCATCATAATAACAGAGCACAACACGGCAAGCTGAACTCACCACTATTGCAGACATCGAGTAAGGTTGGGCCTACGGAATGCTATACGCAAGCCAGGCATCCCCAGTCACATCGTCACCACCAACCCATTTGCTTACAAAGGAGGCGACAGTATTCTTCACCAGCCACCCGAAGAGAATTATTAGCGTCGTGAAAAAAGGATGACAATCGAGCACCACTGAAGTTTGTCAGCCGAAAGCGAGACTGGAAGACTAGAATCGAGTCTCACCCCGCAAACCAAAACCAGCCGCCATACCCCCTAGTACATTTCTGATCACCCAGTCGCGATCAAGCTTGTCTTCGTCGAAGATCTGTAACGCAGCGGTGATAACCGGCTGATCCGAAGAACAGTACCCAGGGCTTGTATGGGCTTCAGAGCAATCGATCGAGTTACTATCGCCTGCGACAGGGCGCCAGACCGACAGTAGCAGGAGCAAGAAAAGCTTGGTAAGAGAAGAATAGAGTAGGGTCAGGGGAACGTGCGATAGTCTGCAAGGAATAGTCGTCAAGGAAGGACATCCAAGACTTCCGACGGACGCACCGAAATTGCTGGCGTATCCCGGATGCTGTAGCACCTGAACGCCTTAGGGCGCGCCATCCGTCGACACATTTCAAACAGACCAAGCAAGCTGCCAGGATTCCCAGATGGAAAGCCAGTGTTTCTGCGACGCGGGTCAGTAAGTTCCACATAGAACTTCAGATACCATACCTATGAGGCAGCCTACGAATATCCTACAGAATGATATGCATGACTCTCGAGACCACGAACCCAGATCAGCGGAAGCCAGAGCTTTCTCCGGGTCTGTATGCGCAAAGAATTGATGAAGATGAACGCAAAAGCAATACGCTATGACTGACGCAGATGAGCCCAGCGAATGACTACGGACGCGATGTCATAACGTCAATAAACCGAAGTATGTAATGCACGTACTTGCGTCGACGAGTAAGAGAGCGCCCCCAAGCTTATATATGAGCATTTGTCTGGCCTGCGTCGGTACTCAAGAGTCCGCACCCGGGCTGCAGGAGAAATAACTATCTCACCAGCTCATGCTGCGAGTCATGCAATGTGGCATCTAAGAGATCATTCTCTGCAGCAGCATCTCGTCCTTTGGCCACCTCGGGATCGATTGCTGCAGTCATCGCGTCTACATTTCCCTCGCGCCTCTTCTTGGCTTTCCTAGCCCCAGTACCTCGGTTGAACAGGAGATGTCGGAAGACATCTCTCTTAAGCAATATGAGGTCAAGTATCAGGGTCAGTTCGTCGTGTTCAACATAAGGATCAGCGAAGGCATGGCAAGCCGGCTGGGCCCCTAATCAGCGTAGCCCAGCTTGTAAGGATGCGTACGAACACATTGCTCCAGTCTGAAATTATAGGCAGATTCATAGACAGTGTACAAATACGCCACTGGATGCGTGCAGGTTGTGCATACGGGCATGACGGCAAGACTACCATTTCATAGCGTGGTAGAGAGCCGATAGAGAGACAGGCGTTGAAGCGACAACTTGAAGCTGGTCACGGCGTAACAGACGCGACAAGGCCTGCCCTTCATAAACCACGTGACACATACCTCGGAGTCGCGAGCCACGACTCCCTCGCTTGTATACACTTCAGTCGCGACACCGCACCCAGGACACCTGACGACATGGCATCAAGGCGGGGAAACAAGTCTCACAAGGTACGCCGCGCTGGATGGTACATAGTATCCTGAACTCACCTCTGGTCCAGGTTCCTGGCGTCAAACTCAGACCAGCTCAAGAAACTCGGAGCAAAGTCAACATCCCAGACGATGACTCCTTCATGCAGGATGATGATGCCGAAGAGAACACACAGTTCGTGGACATGGTTTTTAGGCCATTTAGAGGACTCGTTATATGTGCTACCGGTGTACCGGACAAGGTTAGTCGCGGTTATCTGCATCTCCTGCGGTCTGACAATAGTCTTCAGACAGCTCTCTTCAAGAAAGCCCTGGAACTAGGCGCCATGTCTACTCAGGACTTTACTGACCGGGTCACTCATCTCGTTGCCGCGACACCCCAGGGTGCAAAGTATCATTGCGCCGTCCAACGCAAGATTCCGATCATGAAGCCCGAGTGGATATTGGATAGCTATGACATATGGCTTCATGGAGACGACGTGGATGTGGAGGAGGTGAGTCTACTTGATCTTCATATGTGACTTCTGGAGTGGTATACCACGGAACTTCCGTCCTCAAATGGCCCCCGCGTTTCTGGTTCTCGAGCTTATGACACCATATGTACTTATTCACATACAGAGCATGAGGACCCATCGGATGCCGATTTTCACTAATGTCACAATAACACTCTCTGGCATCGACGATGTGGGACACAGGGCACAGCTGCAGAAACTCGTCAAGAAAGAAGGAGGTAAGGAGCAGATAGCATCGCATAATAAATTACTGAACTCTCGTAGGATCCTACGTGAAGGACCTGACCCGGATCACCAAAGTGACACATCTCCTCTGTGCTGGAGACGACATCACCGATAAGATGCGTTACGCTGAAAAGTTCAACAGTAAAGAGGGAGCAAATATAAAGATCGTTTGGGAAGAGTGGTTCTGGGACTCCTTGGAATTTGGTGGTGCGCCAACCCAGTCCGCTGGCTCTGCGGAAACGCCTGAGCTCACGTTTGCAGGCCAATTTGACGAAGAGCCCTACCGGGTCACTCATCCCAGGCCAGAGAAACGCAAATCCTCGCCAGAGCGTAAGTGATGGGTAATGCGTTTCTCTCTGGAACTACTGTCTGATTGGCAGGTCTCGCAGCATCATCGCCTCCCCCAAGCTCTGAACCGATGTCCGAAACTCATGAAGCCCCACTACAAAAATCCAATTCTAAGACAAACGCGCCTAATATCTGCCAAGACGATGAAGAGGAAGAGGAGATGGCGCAAGTTAAACGAGTTCATTCTGATACTTTACAAATATGGCAGAGCCTGTTGAAGCCTAGAGGATTTCAGATCGTGGAAGGAAAACTTCTCCGAAGTCCCTCCAAGTCCCAATCTCGTGCCGATGCGGTCAACGTGCTAGAAAACCAAATGCCCTTGCGAGAAGAAAATCATTTACCGCATAAGTCCGCGGCCAAGACTGGCAAGAGTATTCTCTCCGGTTTTAGGCGATCCGAATCCTTCGCGCATTTGCAGACTGCTGGAGCAGGCCCCAGTGGGGCCAATGCAGCCAGCAGATTATTCAAGCGTATTCCCTCCTCGGCACTTCGACCTCACTCGTCGTTTTTACAAGGGCAACCTACCCCTTTACAGCGAGTGAACCCTGTGTCAGAAACAGGCGGAGACAGAGATGCGACTGAGCACAGTCCCGCCGTATCAACGGCCAATGCTGGAGGCAAACATATGTTTACCGGCGCCAAGTTCAAGCTGCTGGGTGAAGCCCGCGCACCGAACGTACGCAGCGCAGTTGAGGATTACGGCGGTCGTGTGCTGAGCGCCGAGGACGAAGACGAGGCCGATTTCATCATTGTTAGATTAATCAGGTTCGCCCTTATTCTTGCTGCAACGCCGGTGAGATGTCATTTGATAACACATCACAGTGGCAGCAATTTCTATAAGCAGGAAACCGACACTGTTGAGAGGGCTAAGTATAGGACCGAGTGCTGGCTGGAACGTTGCATATACGAAGAACGTGTTTGTGCGCCAGACGAGAAAGTGGTATTTACGCCTCTTAAGATCGACATTCCCGTAGTTGGTATGTCAGTTACCGTCCTTACTATCCGCTGTTGCTGAACTCACGGATTATAGGCGCGGACCAGATAAATTTAAGTTTTTCAGGACTGGAGGAGTCAGACGCTTGTTGGGTGCGGAGACTCGTGCGCGCACTTGGTATTGGAATACCCTGCAGTAATAAGATGGTCTACTGACGCACCACTGCTACAGGCATCAATTTAGCTTTGAATTTTTCGCGGCGTTCTACTCACCTACTGTGTCCGTCCGCTATCGGACCTAAGTATGAAAAGGCCCTAGAATGGGGCATACCGGTTGTTGGAATGGAATGGTTAGAGCGTATCGGCCGAAGCGGGATCATTTTCGAGGTTCCTGTCTCCGAGCTTACTGGCCGAAGCGAGAACCAAGCAATAGTGCATGTTCTAGATGTCAAAGGGAAGGGTAAAGCCAAGGAAGTCGAATATGCTCCTGACCTTAGGATCACCGATATCACAAACAGTAAGCCGTCTTGTTTCACTGGTACTGGTGTTGGTTATTAACAATCCCGCCTTAGGCGCGTCTTCAACTTCTTCCAACAGCCAGTCAGTGCCCAGACGCGTGGCTACGGATGATGTGATAGGTCGGCTTCATGAAGAATCAATGGCTGTAGATGTGAATCCTCCCGATGTCTTCCACGTCGAAGGAGCAGGAGACACATTCGGCGAGCCAGCCATGTTGCAAGGGCATCCTGTCAAGTCGGACCATCGACAGCAATCTGTGCACGAGCATGCTCCTGTGACACCTCACTGCAGTGAAGACCAGCTGATGGAGGTCCCCGATCGCAACGATGACCAAGCGGAGGATGCAGCGAAGGGACAAACTATTCCTTCCTCCAATACACCGTCGCCGCTCAAAAATCCCCGGAGCAGTAGCATGCCCATTTCCCCAGTTAAACCCTCGCCCACAGCCGAAGCGACCAGGGCGCTGCAGGAACGACTGACCTCTCTTCTGGGCAAGCGCCCTTCGGAGGAGGAAGAGACTCTCGCAGGCGGTATCGTAAGGCATGGAAAGAGAGTTAGGCCCCCATCACGGTCGAAGGTATTCTCTATTCTTATATACTTCAACGTCATACTAAGTCGTGTTTTCAGCGGCCACAGTCTCGCCAAAACTCGGGAGAACTTCCATTTCCCCGGGTTGCCTCACCTGCACCCTCGGACCCTGCTTTCAATCTTGCGCTGGCGCGACCCTTCGATGAGACAGTACTCTCTGAAGAGAATACTCGCCCTTCAGACGAGAGTATCCGCGTTACCTATGAGGATCCGGCGCAGAGAGCGGAGCAGAGGAGACTAATGAGCTTACTGGGTGGGGTCGACAATCAGAATCATACGTCCGACGAGGCTACGGATGACGTGCCTGCAAATGTCCGGCCGAAGAAAAGGAATCTTGTGCGACGGAGTGGAGGAACAAGAGTGGCTGGGTTCTAGACCTACACCGCTGGATATTTGGCGCATGCACGCATGGCATCTGCAAAGTTGCTTCGAGATTTGGATACTGTGATTTTGCTTTCTGTAGTAATGTATCGTACGTTTAGCAAGCCCGGGCATGGGAAGTTGTAATATGTACAAAGCTGCAAGATCGTGCATTCTCTGCGGCCACACATCGCAGGTGGCGGGACATTCACTGCTTATCCCCAGTGGAAATCGACAATATTTTCGTATTTTTAGATACTTTAAATATATTTGCATATGTTTACCTGTATATTTTGGAGGCCACAGACTGCTGAATGACACTTGCATGACACTCCCTCGACCTACTCTACCTGCATCAGGTGTGCGTCATACGGGGACGCGATGCTGTCGAGTCACTCGAGTGCGTCGCGTGAGCGCATGCCTCGCGTGTCGCCTGCGTGAGCGCGTCGGCCGCGTCGGATTGAATCGCGGACTCTACCGCGTTCAAGTTGTTGGTGTATATTTAGCTGCAGTGATCGCGGTATGACATCACTTGCCGCTCTCGCGCGATTCATAAAGTCGTCGCGTCGCAGTAAAACGTTTGCACGCACTCTCTTCTTAACCACAAGGTATCCCCTTTGCACTCTGAATTATTAACCAATATGACTTGTCTGTCTTAGGCGGTATTCTCAAGGCAGGGGGCACGTTGCGGAACGCACAAGAATGTAGAGATATAGTGAGTAATTGTTAGTTGCATCACAAAATTTTAATATTCTGACTTTAATATCAACGCAGGAGGCGATCATGAGGACAGGTTGACTAGGTATGTCCCCATATGGAACGGGAGACAGGTCGCGCAGGCAAACTGGAATATGTGCGGGTGGGGGGGGGCGGGTAGAGATGGTGGAAGTGGGTATCGGCGACGAGAGGTGCGAAGCGGGCGGGACGTGCGATTGCCGGGGGACCGGCAGAACAGACGGGCGAGGTGGGGGTCAGAACGACACAACGGAAAAGGTAGAAAATTACAGTAATATGTGTAAATACAACGGGATGGGCTTGCGAGGGGGCAATAGCGCTTATCCCCTACCCTCGTTTCTGCATTGACCACGGGAGTCCAACTATATCTCATGGCAAGCACTCAGGGCGACCCACCACACATAGCGAAGCAGTCTTTGAGAGTGTGTATATGATCTCGATCCCCTATATTCTTGCGTCTGAAATCCCTAAGTGTAACTACTGCTATGCCAGTCGCGAAGTAAAGCGATTGCAAAAGTGTTCAAGATGCAAGGCTAGTCAGCATATCCATCTTAGCTGTACTACGTTACGACCAATGCATGCGATATACAGGCCATGGCGTATTGTTCAAAGGAGTGTCAGAAAGCGGATTGGAAGGTGGGTGGCAAATGCTTGATCGAAGGCGGTGTGCCCTCTAATGAGCTTCGCATTCTCAAGTCGCACAAACAGGCATGCTCGAACAATAATAATCTGGCTAAGGCCCTTAAAGAACATGCCGACACTCCTTTGGGAATTCTAGAATCCCTGATCCTCCCAGACGGCATCTCCTTATACGAGCTTGACAAACGTCTCGAGAAATGGGTCAAGTTTCATTCAAACCTGATGATGTGGGCGACCGTCAATGCTCTGGATCTGTATTCAGATATCTCTCTCAGTCGGAAGCAGGTCCTCTATATCAAGCTTGAGGCCCGTAGGGACCACGATGGTTCACCGGGCAAGTATTTCCGAGCGACAGACGCATACCCAGTGGACGTTGAGGACGCCAAGACCTGGCCTGCCCCCTGGCCTGAGTCACTTGACCAGGTGCGACAGCTGCAGGATGAGAGTGAGAGCATGAATAGGGGATCGTGCGCTGCAGCTATGGTGGAGTGTAAACAGCTCGCTGTTCAGACAGTCCCTTTCGGCTCTCTGAAGAACCTCAAGGGTCCGCGGCTTCTCAACTGGAAGGAGGAGTTGCTGCGCGATATTGAGAATGGCATTCAGCCGCACAAGTATCGTCGATAACCGTGTATGTGCCCGCGGACTCGTATGCTACGACTTGCATGGGTTTGCATCATCCGTTGTACTGCCCTATGATGATTTTACTTCTGCATTCTCCTCTACGTATCCTTCCTTCCTAGCTTGGCCTGTTCCTCTCCCCTCAATAACAGCACGCGGAATCAATATATTCGCATTCCCTGAACATTTCTCCCCACCGCTGATGTTGTATCTGTCTATAGTCAGCTGCGCTTCTGCATGCAGGATCGCTCTCAGGCTGCAGATAAGAATAGGGATGTCTTACTGGAATGAGATTGGTGGGAATCAAATGGTGGAATATCAAGAACCACCGAGCCCACGCTGTCTCTTTCAGCCGTTCGCAAGGTGAATATTTGCGATCGTGACAAATAAAGTGAGTGGTGAAGTTCGTCGTGAGCCGAAAACCACTGACACCTTCGGTTCAGCATTGCTTAGGAGGTGTGGATCTAAGACGCCAGGGGCATGGTTCGAGACAACCCCCGATATGCGTTCAGTTGCAGCGCTTTCTCTCCTCATACGTTTCTCATCATCGAAACGCATGATGTTTACTCGGAGCATCCTTATATCTACGCTATTCTTCGGCCTGAAACGAACACGATACTCCTAATCGACACCGGTTGCGGAGGGGTTTCTTCTCGACCAGATGTCGAAGTAAAGGTGCTCAGAGATTTTCTGGAGACCGTGGACATTCCAAGTAACCATGATCGGCCGCTGAATGATGGGGGCCGTTTCGGATATATCGTTGCTCTCAGTCATTGCCACTATGATCATATCTGTAAGTTCAATCTCAACGAGTTATAGAAGATTGCTAAACGAACACACTCTTGCTGTGTTTTAACCATTATTCCTGATAGTGGGCATTGAGCCGTTCTGCGTTGGCTCCAATGGCGCCGCAAGGATCGTCGCTTCGTCATATGACCCTCATTTTCTCTCCCCCACCCACCTCCCTGAGCATTCTCTGTGCAACTTTCTGCATATCCGCTTGCCACGTTATACGCCAGTCTTGGTTCCGCACTTCCACCGCATCGCTGCCCCTTCTACAAGTGACGGACTACAGGACCTCGGATTCACTGTTCTTCACACACCCGGGCACACGCCCGACTCTCTCGCTATCTGGGACGAGAAAGAGAGCGTAATATACATAGGAGATACGCTCTATGAGGAAGAGCCCATTATCTTTCCCAATGAAGGCTCGATTCGAGACTGGCTGGACAGTGTGGATTTCCTGATACTTTTTATCAAAGATCGACAAGTCGGGCAACCCAGGGGAACAGTTATCCGCGTCAGTTGCGGACATGCGACAGCTTTCAAAGAGGCTCTTCCAGTCTTGCAGGGCGCCAAAGCTTTCATTGAAGCCGTCGTCTCTGGCAGGGAGCAAGCGAGGACAAGGCGGTTTAAGAGAGGCGAGGTTAACGCGGAGTACGGTCAAGTTGGAGATAGGTTCAGATTAATCTGTCCGGAGAGGTTGGTGAAAGAAGCAAGCGGTGCACTGCGATAAGGAGGTCGCTTTGTGTTTCTGCCCTTTCAAGCTATGTCCCCGTGCCTTTGCTGAATCCGAGCAGAGATTCAGTGCTCTCGTACATCCTGAATCTGTGAATGGCATGACTCATCGGATGGTTGTTATACAGCATACTATAAATTCGGGGTACGCAACCTATACCCGACATATCTATGCGCTCTTAGATTGATTGCTGGAAGACTTCTTGACAACCGGTCCCTCAGTCCTCATAGACCGCATATCTTTGCTTCCTGGGCCATCCGGACTTCCACCCGTTGCTCCGGTGGCTTCGTTGTTCTTCCTCTGGCGCTTTCCGTAGTCCCCTTGGCCTACTCCTTTTGTCGAGTTTCCGTCTTGTTCGTCCATTTCTCCTCTATCCTAGGTGCTCCCGTGTCCGATTTATCCCCGGCAGGCTTCTTCCTTACGGATTTGCTTGCTTGAGGTATGGAGTCCCGCGTTCTGGATCCCGTCTTGCCTTGCGTTGGCTCCGACGCGGACTCTGTACCTGACTTATCAGTTTTCGGATTCCCCGCAGCTATGGATGTATTGTGTTCGTTCTCCGCTGCCGCCTGCCCAGAACCATGTTTGCGATCATCTGTCGGATACTCCTGACGGTCTCCTTTGGTCCTGAGTTTCGTGTCCGCCTTGGCTTGCTCCTTGCCTGATGTCTCTAATACCCTCTTCGCCTTTGTGCCTTTTGAATTCTTCACTCCAGCCTGTGGTTTGGGGGCAGCTGGACCGGAGGGTTTTGTTTCAGTCTTCGACGAAGCCTCAGCAGCTTGTTCAGCCCGCCGGCGTTGTGGCGCTTTATCTGACTCCTTATCTTTGGATCCGCTCTCCTTTGACGTATCGGCGCCAGGGGCAGGCTTTTTGTTCGCTCCCTCTACTTGGCTACTCGACCTCTTCTCAGGTGCGACTGAAGAGCTCCTTCCTCGCCTTGCCTGGCCCTGCTTCCTGGGCGCGTCCTTGGTATGACCACTGCCACCACCCACCGCCCCGCGTTCTATTTTGTGAACAATGGTCCCGCCTTCCGCCTGGTATGATTCTGAGTAAGAGCTCGATGACGAGGAGAAAATTATGGATGGAGCATGTGGATATGGTAGTATCACCGGCGGCGGCGACAGTGCATGAATTGGACCCTGTAACAGTGGGAATAGCTGCATGTATCCGCTCTGCCATGGATCCGCAACAGCCGTATATGAAGGCGACGCGGGTGTCAGTGCTATGCTAGGTGGATACCACCGTGCCGAAGCGTGCGCATGCCATGGCCAGGGGCTCGGATGCGGCTTAGACTGGCCCGGGTCTGCGTGCATGCTAGCCGGTCTTGGAGGTGGGATGACTGGCGTTATTTTTCCGTTAACATGCGATGGCACTCTTAACGTGGGGTCGCTCGTTCTCTGTAGAAAACAATGCAGGCGTATTGAGCGCCCTCAGTATGAGGATAAAGCCAAGGATCACTTACTTTCCTAGGCTTACGGTCGCTATGTCGCCTTTCGGGGTCATGAAAGTCGCCTTTCACTTGGCTGAGAGTGCTACTTTCCTGACCCTTATTCTCGGTTCTATTTGTTCGCAGCTCTTGAAGAACCTCAGCAACTGCCTGGTTCAGGTCTCGTAACAATGCCGTTTGCTCGTATTGGTTCATTCCGGAGGCTACGGACTCTTCCAACTATGATGACCAAATGAATCAAGGAAGGCAACTTTATGACCGATGAAATGCTAACCTGGAAAGCCTCGACCAAGCTGCTAAGCCTCTGCTTGACTTCTTTGATTGTTCTCTTCAACTTCTGTCCTTGGAATCGCAATATGATCTGCAGATTGGCATTGGGCCGTGCCTTCAGCTTGAGGATCTGTTTACACTTTGTTGATAACGGTTCCATCTCTCTTTTCGATTGGAAAGCACAATAGTGAGTGACCACTCCAGGACCCCACAATCGATATTCTACTCACGCCTGAAGATCCACTAAGCGCTGGCGTAAATCTGGATGAACTCTCTGCGATTCGCATTTTTTCACCAGGGTCTCCACGCTGTCCCACATATCCAAGACTTCTTGACAGAGGTCTTCAGCATTCCCGAAGTCTTCATCCACCTGGATAATGAGTCGTTGACACGAGACGGTCTCCAAGGGCTACATGTGAGCACCCACCTCATCAACGGCATTCTTGCCCTTGATGATCAGCTTAACTGCACTGTTCAGGATACCGAAGTCCATGCGATACTCGAGGCGATCCCTTCAAGGATAGTAAGGGTCGTGTGCTTTGAGCGAGCGAGACAGATAAACCCGTGGTGTCATAGCCTCGGCGCTTGGTACACATCGTAAACGATTTGCTGTACCACGAACAGTTCGGAACTATTGGGCTAGCCTTAGGCGCTGTGCTGCTGACCGTACTCAGGCTCGCGGTTGGGGTTGACAAGTGCGAATAACTGATTAATACCGGGAGACATTCCCCAGAGTTGGCTTTTCTGAATTGTGAACCGCGCGCATTGCCCAGAGTGATTGCATGCAGATATTCATGGTGGATCTGCACGAACTTGGGAGGCAATGTCGGACAAATCGATCTAATCTAAGCGGCGGGCTGAACCGGTACCGAATGCCGTAAGTTCGAATGGACATGAACAACACGGGGACTTGTTTCCTGCCTCGAGGACGCAGACCGTGTCACTCAGCCTTGCGCTACCCCCACAGCTATCTACTGGCGCCCCCATCCTCTCCGCATCCGTCTTATGACTATTCTCTTCGCCAACCGTAGGACGACCGGCTTCGGTGAGATCGGAGCGGTCGGCGAGGTTATGGTTGGATCAACGTCTTGACGCGATCTTCACCAGTGACGGTCCTCATTCTCTCTGCGGTTGTGTTGGGCATTTCAGCCTACTTTGGGCACGAGTTTTTGCCAAATCATGCAGGTGGGTCCCGACTTGTTTATCGCATTGCAACCTGATCTGACTGGTGATCTGCCTCCGAAATATCTGCATAAAAGCGGACATTACGATTTTCTCCCTGGTTGTGTCGTCCTTGACCATCCTAGTGCTCATTGTGCTGTGAGTCGTCGTCCCTATTACGTGCTGTCCGAGGGATCTAACATGATCAATGCCGTTCTTCGCTATTCTCGATCATGGCACGATCTCGATCGTACCTCAGACTAGTATGGTCTCAACCTCGGATTGAAGCGTTCTGGTTGTTCGTGCTGGCAGTCTTATGGCTAGGTACTGTCGTTGTTTCCTATGTTTTATCATCAAGTGCTGACCATGCTTGGTTGCATATTGATATTGCAGCCATGGGCGCGTGGTATGAGTGAGTGGGCAGGTGTACTCGCATGGTATGAGCCTAGAACTTAAATTCCACCGTGATCTAGCGACCTACAAGGGCATACTGATTGCTCTGCCTTGACTGATGCTCTACGAACCACCACGAATACTGGAACAAGTGAGTCGTAGGGTTGTCGGTGCGGTTCATATCGCTTAGTCGCGCTTCCAGTCTCCTCACGAGCATACTGCTACGAAACAAAAGTGGTGGAAGCATTCTCATGGATGACCTTCATCCTTCGTGAGTACTTCTCCCCCTGGTACTAGACTCCGCTAACGTCTTTCTCGTAGTCGCTGTCTACCTAATAATTCTCATCGCATTGACCGGTCGTTCACAAGTGCTAGGCAGACCCTACGCCTGGCAAGAGCCCATCATCGAGCTTCCCTGGTTTGGCGAGTACCCGGGCTACCCAGGGCCCTACCAATACTCCGACGGCTACGCGCAGAACGGCCAGATGATGCCTGGCTACGGCCAACCGACGTATGTGTACCCTGGCATGATGGGGGGCGGACAAATGCCCTATGTCATCAGGCAGAATCCCGGCGAGTCGATCGTCATCCAGCCGGGCATGAACGGGGGTGCGCCTTTTGTGCAGCAGGTGCAAGCATAGGCAAAGTGCGATGCCAGACTTTACTACGGAATTCACGAGTCCTTTTGTGAGATGCATTGATTGTACGTTTATTGTAGGAAACCCTCCATGTAACAGCTTAACGGAATGCTCGCCTGCTGCCATCCTGTTGTCGTACGTGTACTGTAGCTGTGTAGTGTAGAAATGCATGGCATGACTTTCCCAAAAATGGAGGGACGCGTGTCCCGATCGGCCACCATCAATTGGGTGGGGGCACCCCATGCGCCCAACGGGTATGCACCTGTATGCACGCCGTGTTGCTGAGCCAGAAGTAGGGAGTTAGGGACTATGTGGCTTAGAAGCTGGGGCAAGAAGCGGGACTCGGTGCCGAACTCGTGTGACAGTCGGCGAATGTGACAGGGCGGCCGTCACACCCGACCGACAATAGGTTCGCCGTGTTTAGTTTTTGTTCACCTTCATTGCCGTCAACGGCTTTTGTTATCGAAATATAAAGTGCCAGCATGATATTGAAGCCCCTCGATACCTGTCCCTGGTCTACTCTGTCTAACGCGCTGGTCGCTTATTTTTACGAAGCTCTCTTGAACACCTACGACATTTATACCCTTTCATATACCCGCCACACTTGCTCGTGCTCACGACTATACGCTCCAATAATTTCACCAAAAGTCTTCTTGATTGCATAGGACATGATTTACAATATCATCTTAACACTCACGCTCACCAGCCTAGCTGGTCTCGCTGCTGGCCATGCGGGTACGCCAACTTTCACTGCTTACCCTCGGAGAACCTCGCACCTCATCACACTGGGACTCTCCAGCCCCTTTCCACCCCTCGATGTGGGGATTTAATGTCACTGACAAGACCTACTCGTATGACAACCGACCCGTCTCTCCCTTGATGGCGATGACCTTCGACCAGTGGTGGTTTCATGGCCACCTGGACCATCCGCCGCACCCAGAAGACGTGTTCGAGCTTCCTGCGGGCAAGCCTGCCACTATGGAAATTGCCTGCACGAAGTCCGCCACGTCCTACTTTGCTTCCTCCGAAGGCGGGAATATACAGAACGGGAACGATCCCTGTCCGGGGAGCCCTCCCTCGGAGTACCACACGACTGGCATCAGCGATGTAAAAGGGTAAGTTGATAACCGCGGTTGTCTTTCTAGATCCTTACATTCTGCGCGCAAAATTTAGCTGTTCCCTCGCTATCGCGTACAAGAGCAACGTCTCCGACGTACAGCCGGAGGACTTCGCCGTCTTCAGCGTAAATCAGACATGCGTTTGGAACAGGTTTACGGACTTCCAAGTCCCTGAGCGCATGCCACCCTGTCCGCCTGGCGGTTGTATCTGTGCATGGTTCTGGATACATTCCGTATGTCGTCGTATGCCGGTGAGGATGCCTCATATTTACTTATTTCATCCCCACAGCCCGACAGCGGCGGTGAACAGAGTAGGTGGCCTATCTTTCGAAAGCATAAGTTATGCTGACATACGTTCCAGATTATATGAACGGATTCCAATGTAACGTCACTGATGCCAAATCCACCGTCCCTCTCGCGAAGCCACAGGTCCCCCGCCGCTGTGGCGCGGACCCAACCAACGGCAAGATGGAAGCATCTCCAGGCAATTGCACCTACGGCGCGAAACAGCCGTTTTACTGGTTCCAGAAGGAGAGTAACAACGTCAGTAAACTTGCTTTATCCCTAAGCTGTGAAGCGCAACTGAAGCTGTTGGGGCGGACAGATGTTCGAAGGGACCTACTCGCCACCGTTCTATACGGACCTGTACAACTTTAAGGATGGCGCTCAAGATGATATTTTCATAGACTCGTACATATCGCTTCCCCCACCCAGCCCCAACGCATCTCTGCCCATCCTCAATTCCAATCCCGGAAGCCAGAGCGCCAATACAAGCATTAGTGGAGCTCCGACTGCCAGTGCCAGCCAGGTAAGCACAGCAACGACAAATGCAACTGCTGGCTCGTCGCCGTCGGTTATTACAGTGATGACGACGTCCACGGCTATTGTCCATGTGACAAGCACAGTGCTCGTTACTGCATCTGCGCCAGTCTCCTCTTCGTCTTCATCTTCTTTTGCAAGTGCATCGCTCACCAGTGCCTCTGTATCTACCTCTGCCTCCGCGTCTGTGCCGATCCCCCCTTCCACGTTCACGACCATCTTACTCAACCAACCCTCTTCTTCGTCATCTCCGTCCCCGTCGCGCGTGGCATCACTATCTTTATCACTGTCGTTACTTCCCACTCTCCCTACCACCACGTCCTTACCAACTGGCCCACCGAAACTCTTCGAGCAGTCTGTTCCAAGCGCCACCGCATCCCCGTCGATTGCTGGAAATGCTAAGACATGGTGAGTCCTCTCTTTCCCTTGATGCCGTGTAGCGTAGCGGAACTAATGTCTTTTCCTTAGCAAACCTCGGTTGGGCGGGTCTCTCAAGAAACGCGGCCTGTACTCCTCATTCATCGTGCACGCTGCAAAGCGGCGCAGGCTCAAGAACAGGAGTGATCTCTGGCATATTCTCTGAGCGAATATCCTTTTAGCTGTACCGCTGCTGAGGCGTGTCTCATCGCAAGTTTGGCGTAGGTGGTTGTATTCTGTATTCTGTATTCTGCACATACTGTATCTGTAGTCGTTCTGAAGGTCTGCGAGTCAAGGCCGAGATAATTCGATGACCAGTCCCGATGTTCGCGGCCTCAGGTGCGGGACCTTTTGCATCGGGAAAATCTTATGGTTACAAAACGTAACTTCTGTGGATTCAACCGGTCATCCTCACTTGCGCAAGAATGCGTCCCTCTTCCGCAGCGCTTGCGAACGGTCGGCAGCGTTGGCTACGTCAGCCCAACTGATAATTATCGATCAGACGGTGTATCTTGAAGAAGGACAGAGTTCCACGTACGGCGCGAACACGAATTCGAGGTTGTCGGGATGAATCTCGGGGTAGCTCTCACTGATCGTCTTCAGAAGACCATCATACACGAACTGAGGAAGAATGTTAGTTCAGTACTGAAGCATGGACCATACTTCCAGGACCCTACCGTATATCCTTCGGCATTGAGATGCAGCCCATCATTGAGGTATCTGCTTAGATCCCTCTCTACCTTCCCGGCTGCCTCCCATATACTGGACCAGATATCGACAACGGGGACGCCCTCCTTTGCGCCCACCTCTTTCACCGCCTCTGCGTACTGCTGTGTCACTTCGAACTTCCTATCCAGGTCCAGCGGCGGGTTCCGCGTTGCGAGGTCCGCTCCCCTCTGGTAGGTATTCACGGGCGGCGGGGTGATCAGGATGACGCGGGTAGAAGGGGAGTGATAGGGCGAGTCGGGGGACTTGACCAGGTTGATGAGCTTGGAGAGGTTAGCGGAGAATGTGGGGAGGGGGACATGCTGGGGAGACGGGGGGATACAAGCGTCGTTTGCCCCGAACCATATGGTCAGCAGCTGTACTTTCGGCAGGTGCTCTTGATCCTTGGATTTCGCAAAGAACTACTGCACACATTAGTACAGCAGTGATCGTCCGATGTGTATCGCACGTACCTGTTCGAAGACAGGGATCGCCCATTCAGTGTTATATCCAGACAGCCCTCGGTTTATCACATCCAGCTTTCTAGCGTAGACGTCTGTACAAAGGATCTTCACGACGCTGGACTGGCGAGGAGTGGGCTGGTTGCGTACATGATAAACGCTGCGCAAAGCCGTGTGGCTCCCATCCGCCCTGTGTTAGGGAGTCTCCCAGAAGGCAGATACAGTCTTGTGTGTATGCATTCATCTCTGGCGTACGTGGTCAGCCTGTCGGCTGTGGATAAGTTCGCGGGTGCATGCTAACGCAGCTCAGATATCGTCGGACGAATGTCGGAGTTTCTGATCCAGGTTCGGACATAGACTTCCCCGAGGTTTCCGTGTATGAGCCAAGGGCGTTACACCAATATACCTATATCATCTCAACGCCTGGATCAGAGGGTTTGACACCGTAATTATAGCGCGAACTGTATGCGGCGCGCGACAAGATAGCAGTGAACCACGGGCTGCGTTGTGAGGAAAGCACAGGATATAACTGCATTACCGGCGGCGGCGCGCTTCTAATTCTCTAGAGTCTTCCGCTCGGTTCCGCTCAAGCCAACCTCGACCCCAGCCGAACCAACCCACAACGACCTCCTTCGCAAAAATCTCGCCGAAACCAAGCATCACGCCGTTGACGAACGGTAGCAAGAAATTGATGCCTAAGCTGGAGACCAGCGCCAGGGCCCGAGTCTTGGTTGGCAGGGTAGAGTCGAACACGGACAAGGTGACATGCTGCGCTTCGGTACCGCGTTGTTGACTATGCAAGTGCCCATGAGTCTGGTGGTGGGAATGACCCGGACGGTGATGGGGTTGGGGAGCATCAGGGGGGGTCTCTGGGTTGGATAGCGAGGGGAAGGACATGGACGGGTAAGACTGTGACGAGTTCATCGATGACGGAAGGTCCTCCCATTTCTGGGATGCAGAAAGCGACGAAGTCTCTTTCGAGTGTTGGTGCATATGAGGAGCCTAAAGGGCTCGTAAGCATTGCATCCCATAGTGGTTGTACACGGGAATACGGACCTCAGCATGTCGGTGATGGCCTTCTTTTTCTCCACTCACCAAGTCCCGAACATCTGCGGGGCTGGGGCTGTCTCCCCTGGGCACAGACGCGCTCCCCGTAGCTTGCGTAAGAGTTGGCCATTCTTCTCTGGCCTCAACTCCCTCCTTCTCCCGCTGGGCCCTCTCCTCCGCTCGTATTCTTTCCCACCGCTCCCTCTCTCGCTCAGCCTTCGCCCGCTGCTCGATATTCGCCGCCCTCCACTGCGCGACCTGGGCCTCATATTCGGCCTTCCACGCATCGTAGGCATCGGACCCCGGCGCTTCCGCAGACGCAGCCGGTGCGGGAGGTTCCGGTGGGAGCGCAGGCTGAGGCGGGGGAGACACGGATGCGCGCGGGAGGTCAGTAGGCGTGAATGCCGTGCTCAAAGCAGACTGCCGCAGAGCCAAGAGAGTCAGTTAACTAAGACAAGAGAATATGGACGTGAGGCCCGCTAGCAAAAGTGCTATGGATGCAAGACCGGACACCGACGTACCTGGAGCAGCTCCTGCGTCCCCTGATCGTGTTCAGCCATTATAAGAGAGTATCCCGCTGCTTCTACAGGAGAAAAGGGTTTTGACCAAAACGCTAGGCCCTCGTCCGCCTCCACTGGTAATCCTCGAGACGTCGAGTGCTGTGGGTTGAGTAAAGTACTTGGGCTGCTGGTCCTGCGTTAGGAGGGTCGCGCACGTGGGTCCATGTGCGCAGTGACATCTTCAACTTGACGCCAGTAACTCCGGCGAAGCTACAGCTTTCAAGTTTAACACTAGCAAACCTTTTAATTAACCGTCGTCACCCTGTTGGCCTTAAGTTATGCACGAGTTCTGTCCTGCTGTCTGACTGGCGCCCTTCATCCTCGACCTCGGTAAGCCTGATCTGCCTCGTCGTGCTGAATACATCACTCTATTTCCTGTAGGTTTGTGACAGTGTACAACATCGACAGAATGCCGAGCTCTTTACACTGACCGCTCTTGCGTTACAGATCAGTCCCCCAGGATGCTTGTACTGTGGTCTAGAGACTAATATAGAAAGATGAAATGGCTTCTCCGTCTGCTGGGCTGAAATATATCTTGCAATTATGTCTGAGAATCGTACGAAGAAACCCTCGATACACTGTAGAGCTATGTCTCTGGATCTAGCTCGAGATCCTCTGACCACTTCTCTGTCTTGTCAACGTCGCTGGCCAGACTGACCGATTTCCCCCTGAGAAAATCTACTGCATCCTTCCCAAGAGGCAATCGTCGAGGCTCGTCGTCGTCGTTCTCCCTACCAGCAAAGTCGTATATTACCTTAGCAGCTTTACGTGGGTCGCCCCTCGCTCTGCCCTCCAGCCAGCCACGAAGCGCTACAGATGGGCTGCCTTCGAAAGTGTATGCGGGGTGTTGTGGCACTACAACGAGACTGCCCGCCTTGGACGCTCTGGTTTCGAAGCCTCCGGGCTCAATTATAGTTATCTAGGATAGTAATCGACCCGTCAGGATTTATCCGTGAGTTTTAGCGATGATATGGAATGCGATCTACTAAACACTAACCTTGATATTCCAAGCTGGATTCAGCTCTTTTGCAAGTGCGTCGGACAAACCTTCTAAAGCTGGGCATAGTGTGAGTTTATGTCGTTTTAAACCGGCTGTCGTGTCGTACCGTGCTTGCTATTAGACCCAGTAAGTCCCCGGAGGTCTAAGTGTATTGCGAAACGCACCTTGCGCCGTAGTAGCCGACTCCCGCTAGAGCCTCGATGCCCGACGTCGACGTCACCTGCAAGATTCTTCCTCCAGCAGGTTTATTCACGTCGCGCATGAATTTCACTCCTTCGATTGTAACGTTCGCTGCTCCCCAGAAATTCACGTCAAACATGGCCCGAGCTGTCTCCTCGGGGGTCCCTTCGATTTCTCCCAAGATACCGTACCCCGCGTTATTGAAGATGATATCTACTTGGTGGAATGCATTTTTTGCAGCGTTGAAGGCGTCTTGGATGTCCTGCTTATTCGTAACGTCCACCTTTAGCACCAGAAGTTGGGTGCTTGGATAATTCCCCCGAAGGTCATCGAGGTCGGCCGGCTTTCGCAAAGTGGCTACTACGCGGTCCCCGTGCTTGAGCACTTCTTCGGTCAGTACGCGTCCGAAGCCTGAAGAGGATCCGGTAACTCGGTAAAGGTTAGTATAAAAGCGCATCGTGCAGAGCCGTACGATCGACTCACTGAACCAGACTTTTCCTGCTGACGTAGGCGAAACCATAGTGAACTATGTGTTGTTATTCCATCCTGGAGAGCTCATCTGGTGTTTATATATATTGCCTGCAGTTGATCCATCACGGACTTCACCGGCATATACACCTCCCTACTAAGGGACATCCGCCGATGACATGGGGTGAAGTCGCGGCTTTGAGGCTGACGACGCACTCCGGCATACTTGCGTTTGTTTGTTCTTTTCTTGTACTCCAGAATGAGTCAACGCGGTATATCGTGCTAGATTCTGCCCCTTTTCTTGACCTGGGATATTCTCCGTATAGGTGTGATCCACAAGTTGGACACGGAATTATCGGTTACTTCTTCGCTTCTTCTGGAAGCATGCTATGATTTCATCACTGTGGCATGCTCATCCACAGGTATCAGGCTCCGTTCACAAGGGAATCAGGTACATATGTCAGCTATGCTACATGCAGGCCCTTTCTATACGGCCCAACCTCACGCTGCTTGAATACCGAAAGCCCTCTGTCGGTGTCAAGATTGTGAAAGGTCCATATCAGGGTGAGCACTGCTTACTAGCATCGCTATATTCCAATCTTGCTCTGGCACGACAGGCATATGCACTCTGACACGTTCCATGTTTATGCAAGATATCACAGACAGTCCTACAGGTCAATGGCAGATTATGTTATCTTCGGACATCTTAGGAACGTCACGTTCAGCCCCCGATTGACAAGCCGAGTATACCCCAGCGAGTGAAGTTGCTTCCGTCTTGCTCTTGTTATCTTTCCTTCTGCAGGGAGAGCGGGTTATATCCGCACCTTTCTCGAAGAAGTGGACCACCCGGTGTAAACGACCGCATTATGATACAACAGCTTCTGCAATCGGCTCGCCGGACCATCGTCTGACCGGCGTACCGTCACGAGGGCCGCATATCTTTGTTTTGCCTTCTTTCAGGTCGGGTTAGTCCCAGCCCCTGGTATCCCAGGTGCTGTTTATGGATGATGAAAATAATTCGCCATTGCTTTATCACCTTCTTGCAATAGTTGCCCGGTTTGTAAACCGAAGGGACACGACGGAAGTAAGAACCCCGAGCGGAAGATGCAAGATTATGTGGAGGCTAACGATCTCGTGGGGTACTACTTCCGACCTTGACGCCTATATCCCTCAAAATGCACTTCAACCAGTTCATATAAGGTCGCCCCTCTGCCGCTCTACCTAGCTCTCCTTGGCCCTGGCACTTTGAGCTCAATTCTGCAGCCTTGCCCTTAGCGTCGGTCACTTGCAGAGGCCTACAACGTGCATCGCATATTCAACGTAGGCGTGATATGTGCTCGGAAGAATGGTGGGCACCGGTATGACTGCAAGGCATCACGACCAGAGGCTGATCATCGCAACACAGTTATGTCGACCGGTACCGGGGCTGTCAAGTAAGCAATATTCTTCTTGCGCAAGTTCAGCTAACAGGTTAATCGCAGCATAACGTTGTCCTCTATTATACGGGGAATAGGACCGACTGTGGGTCATCTACATGTGCACTTAGCTCTGCCCATATGCACAAGACTTCGAAGCAGTGCGGTTGTTCCAGGGTCAGTGCCGAATATTCGCATGAGCATTCCGAAGACCCACGCTCATTCCTCTTGATTCCAGGTAGTACGGGATGATTGTAGGGTGGTCAACCTGTTCCAGACAGAATGCGATGCATGCAAGGAGGCAAGGGGCGGACATGCTGGCTCATCCTATCGTTATCGATGATATCCAAGTTGCAATATACCCCATGTTAAGCTTGTCAAAATCCACTTCGGCTGCCCGATCGTCCCGTTCGCGTATGTTTGCTGCCCTGCATTCCCAAGGTTTAGTGCTGCGGCCCGATGCCTCTGCCCATTAGATTCCACTATGCTAAACATGCACCCACAGTTATCCCTCGACTGCTAACCAGATGAAGCTAGGCTCGGCAGTTCAGCGAAACATAGACGACATCGTGAACCACTTTTAACTTGTCCGGAGTGATCAGACACGACTTGTGCGCGCCTCGCACCTTTCGCAGTCAGCCGACAACGCTAAATCAAATGGTCCGCAACGCACAGACATGAGGCTGGAAAAAGGGCGTCATGATAACGAAGGTCACCACAATCAACATATACAAATAGAGTGGCAGTATAGTGATGCATGCAACTAGAACCTCTTCCCCCCACGCTTCAGAGGTTGTCTTGCACCCCCTCTCCGCGATGCCTCACCGCTTACAATTTTTGATAGCCGTTTCCTGCGCTCTTCTTCACTATTTTCAGCATCGCTGGAGGACTCCTGGACGACGGCTTTGGCCTTGGCCTTTTTCTTCGGTCGATGAGGTGATGACTCTGCATCCGAGCTCGAAGGAGACTCTCCTGAAGTCGTCTTGGCGCGAGACCCTGTCTGTTGTGGTGCTGAGGCCGAGGGCGCAGGCTTTGACTGACGGGAAGAGCCTTGCACTGGGCTACCACGTTCCGCGATTGATGTTGCTGTGCTCTTTGCGGAGCCAGCGGCGGCTTTCTCTCGAGCCAGACGGAGAACTCGAGCAAATTCCTCTTCGCTCTCTGGCTCTGTCTCCGAACCTGAGTCTCCGCCTGGGCCTTGTGAGGCAAGGACAGTCTTCTCTGCAGACTCTGCTGGCTAGAACGAAGAAGAGCATTCGTACCGCGCTAGAGGAGAAGCTGTGAGATTGGTGCTCACCGTCGTACTATGCGCATAACGGAGTTCGCCACCCTCTGTGATGCCCTTGACATCCTTGGATGTGCTCCCGCCTTTGCTCTGGAAAGGACGGCTTATGTCAAGCTTCTCGAGGGACAGAGTGATGGGGGCTGCTCGAGGCCGCATTAGTCGCAGCGTGCGGGAACAGCGATGAACGACTGACGTAACGAAGGTACGAAGTTAAATAATGCAGTCATTCGTCGTAGAGTTGTGGCCGTTCTCGGATTGGATAAGGCATGTTTGACATGCGTGTCTACCGTCCTCCTCGCTGTCTTCCCAGCCTTGTCCACTAGCTGTGTAGAGCAGGTCAGGTCACGGCAAGGGACTGGAATTCTTGCATACGTTCTGCAAGTCCTCTTGGGACAATTCGCTGACGGGATCCGCTGAAGCGAAGGCCAAGTGAACGGTGCTGATGAGTGGCATAATCAAGTGTTTAGACAGTAATTCGAGCGAGATCCTAGGGCCTAGGGAATAAGCTTCCCATTTCCATTTGAAGTGCTCGCATTCCAGTTCCATGGCAAGATCCTATTAGTCAGTAAGTCGTATATTAAACAAGAACTGATTTGTTTTTACGGCGTTCAGGGACTCGGAGATAACCAAAGTCATGTCCGCAAAATGGGCGGGAGTGTGCAGCCCCGAAAGGCGATTGGTGTTGTGTACTCTCCACGCCAGCTCATCGTCTTGATCGCCGTAGGGTGGCTCCGTATCTGGGTTGGAGTCTCGCCATCTGCGCGCAAATTGGTTACTCGTCAGAACTTGAAGGAAGTTCGATTCAGGACAGGGCAAAAGACATATATGGGAGGCGTGATACCTTCAGCCCAGACATGCGTGGTGTCAGTAATCAGAATACAGCAGAACAAGTCCGTGGACGAATGATAGTATTTCTGAAACAGTCGAAATGCAGTCAGCTGAGGATACACCGTGCGTTCAAGACCTTGTAATTTAACGAAGATCAATCTAGAAAGGGAATTACGGACAAAGAGATACGGGATCGATTTCTCACTATCTATTTTAACAAGCCATTCTTTTTCAAGAAGGCATTTTGAATGCTCCTGAAAGAGGGGGGTTGTTGAGTTGCAATGTCATGCGGCGCAGACAGAGGTGAAGGTTATAAACCTCCGTGAATGGTTCCATGTCGCTGATACTTGGGGTCAGCAGATGTGTCAAGGAGAGGATTCGTGCCCCAATTGATGCACGAATGGACGGCAATTGCTGATGGTATCAGGTAGAAGCAATGTGAGAATGGGCAGGCATTCAGTACCAGAGAGGCATGAACCTCGCGGCGCCACTCGGAGCTGTGGCCCTCGTGGTTACGGAGCTCGAATACGTGTCCCACAAACGCCACAAACGTCTAGCGGAGGTCCTAAGGGACCTGCCGACCTTACCCTAACCTCGGTCCACGCCATTCACTGTGCGTCAAGTCCGTCACAGTTGCGCGCTCGTTCTACTCGAGCTGTTACTACTCGACTACAACGTCTGGAGTCTCACCCACTCGTTTCTTTCACTATGGAAGACGGACAGATTGAGGAGAATATTTTCTCCTATTCTTACGACCCTTGTTACGAATGGCAGGGCAATGATGACAGCCAGTCTTCTGGTCCTTCCAGACAGAATGCTCGGCCACGAGCGGTAGTACGGTTCGTAGTCCTGCGAAGCGCAATCCTACCAAAGAAACAGACTGTGGCCGTAGTGGATGGATATACGCAAGTTGAATTTGGGCGCGACGTGCCCCCCGCAGGCAGTGAGACTCCTCGTATTCGGCTGAAAGAAATGGAAGTCTCTAAATATCACGCAAACGCTTATTGGGATGCTCAGGGCCAGAACTGGGCTATAGTCGACATGGGGTCTAAGCATGGTACCTTCCTGAAATCATCATCTTCTGCCGCGTCTTCATCCTTTGTCATCGACGGGGAGAGAGGCACCAGGCTGTCTTCGCCTCGTGTTGCAAGCATGCCCAGATCACTGCACCATCTCGATCAGCTGACCATAGGGAGTACGACGTTCCTTATCCATCTACACGAAGATGGACTGCCATGCCCCGACTGCGCTCTGACTGACCGCGAGGAAGTTCCTCTCTTTGACGTGCGCAGGAAACGCAAGAGGGAAGAAGAAGCTGCGATAAGTGGCTCGCAGCCTGGGCAAGGAGGCGTTCAAAAAGATCCCAAGAAAGCTCTGTCGGTCCTGAAACGCAGCCTGTTACGGAGACACGAGGAATCTGTACCTTCGTCGCGTTCTTCCACCCCGTCCTCTTCGTACGTAGACCGATCCGCTCGTCGCCGAGCGCTACATCCCTCCTCTGCACCTGACACGCCCGGGGTACCACTAACAGCACCTATCGCGCCGCCGCCTGCGACATTGCAGTCTGCCTCAGGGGATCGGTCCTTACCACCAGGCCCTCGTCCGGAACCTGTCTCGGCTCCTCCAACACCCGTCCCAAGCAGTAATGTGGGACATAAGTTACTCCTGAAGCAGGGCTGGCAACCGGGTACTTCTCTGGGACAGCATGATTCGGATAGGATGGCCCTAGTCGAACCTCTCGAGCTCGCTGCAAGTAAAAACCGAGCTGGACTAGGCATGCGCTCCCCACAGGTTGAGGATAGGCCGAACTTAATGTTAAGTGGAGGTAGTCAGGACTGGCGAGAGTTGGCTAAGCGAAGGCGGTTTGAGGATCTGAAGGCAGGAGGCGAGAGAGGTTGAAAGGCATATGCAGCTGACGATAGTGCTGTAAGTTCAAGCGTAGTGATAGCCTGTTGTCATGAAAGTCGGATCTGACCACCTTCATGTCTACTAGGCAGAAGGCGCGTGAGTTATTGGGCTTTGCAGAGCTCAAGGCCGCGCCTCCTTGGTTTACCCACTGCTCCTTTAGGTCAGGTCCGTCAGTTCCTGGCGATCCCCGATGGTATTGAAGAGGGTATCACTTGTCTAGCCACTCCCGAGCGTAGATGTCCACGCATGCCGCCGAGCACATTGATTAACTCAGGCATGGCTGTATCGCAGCCTCTTGAAACGATCTCACTCTCCGTACGCGCTCAATACGAGGATGATTGTGATGTGAGAATAAATATTGCGTGATAAAAATCGATAATCTAGAACACAACGAAAAGAAGCTATAAACCAGATACGGATGAGGATTGCCAGTCCTAAACACTAGCTAGATATCGAATCAGCCTAGGGGGGGCTTTTGTACAGGGCGTATCCAGGGAAAGATGCAGAGATAATCGACAGCGACGAGGGGCGATGCATAGACGAGGAAAGAATAGGATCACATACAACGCAAGAGGCGTGACGAGTGAGGGATGCGCGACGAGGAGCCAGTCCGAAACGAGCGAGCGAGACAGCAAACGACGGATAGCAAGACGAAAAAAGAGGGGAGGACCAGCGACGCCGATGAAATCTGAGAGAGGCCGCTTGCGATGCATGGAGATGCCAAAAATGATGGATGTTATTCATGAGAATCAAATGGGGGGAAGGTTTGTGCGAGTAGAGAAAATGAAGGTGGATAGCGAGGACAGGGGTAGGACATGTGGAGTCGTATAAACAAGGACAGTGGAAGGGATCATATAGACTCATAAAATCATGCAAGGAAAGTGCGTGAAATAGATCATTGTGCAAGCTCCATGCCGTCGGCGATTTCATCGGCGTGTAGTGTCGCCCAGTGAATAGCATAGGTAGAAGCCTTGAGGAACTTCTTGTCCGCGTACTTCTTCACGACGTGCTGTTGGTCAAAACCATCTTCAACCAGCTTGCTGATCAAGAGGCGATGCCCGGGCAGAAGGTGTTCCTCGGTATAGCCGGAATAGAACACAAATGGTTCGCTCTGGAGGACAATGGTGTGACGCGTCAGTCACGTGACGGGAACAATGGGAAGACAAAACATATAGTAGTGGCGCACTTACCCAGTCACCGTCCAACATCTTCCTCGCGGTGTACATGCCTACTGCAGCGACTAGACTTGGCTTCACGCGCAGGAAGCGGTAATCCAATAAAGTAACCTCGGTCAAGAACTTGCTCAGAGTCCTCGTTTGAATGTCGTAGTCGTCTGCCTTGCTGATCCTGCGCATCCAACTGTACGGCGAACAGTACTGGGAGATCTTGAACTCTAGAGTCTGTAGCACTATCCGCTCGCCCTTGAGGATCTCCTCCTTGGAGTACCCGTTCTCGGTCATGAAGACGAACTCGTCGACGGAAGGTGCAAGGATCTCCTCGTACTTGGAGGCAATGAACATAGCGGTGACGCCGACAAGCTGAAGCTTGACACGGGAGACTACTCGCTTGGTGAGGAAACGGTCAACAATGTTGATGGCGATCCAGAGCGTTTCGGGCAGCATGTGGTACCTCCGGTGGACTTGCAGTAACCAGTCTACCAGCAGTTGGCGCATATCCCAGGTAATCTCAGATTGTCCGGAGATGTAGTCAGCGCCCGGCATCATGTCCTCCTATGCGGTCACAGTAAGCATATCAGTTCGGGTGCAAGCTGGGCCAACCATACCTCAAGGTCGGCCATGTACTGGAAGATGTCGTCCGAGTACTCTGATACCATGGTGGTGTCATAAATATCGACCTCATCCTCGAAGGTAGCTCGGATAGATTCGATTTCTTGTTGATACCGTTTGCCCCTTTCGGTGGACACCTCGGGCCAGACGCGCGCGCTTTTCGGCGGTGCTACCTTCTCCGTCTCTTCAAGTTCTTCCTCGTCGCTATCGGCAAGGCCCATCATGGACTTGACTTCTTCTTCTCCAGCAAGGAGGCTCTCGTCGACCTGCTTCTCGGAAGATGGCAGTTGTTGCTCGCCCTCCACATCCATCTCTTCCTCCTCGCTGTTGTCAGCTCGCGGAGGCGAGGCATCGCGCAGAGGTTCGGGCTGAGGATCAGGTGCAACAAAGATGGCCGATACGGGTCGAAGTGCCTTGCCCGATACTGGTGCAGCGCGGGCGTTCACGGAAGAGGCCAAGGGAACAGCGGTCTGTGCCTTCGCTGGAAGAAGAGGGGCACGCTGGGACTGGGCGGTGATGGTCGCGGAGAAGCGTTTCGCATTAATGACGACCCCGCTTTCCTTGCCTTTCAAGGATGGTTTGCCACCGACCTCCTGGGCGCGACAAACGGTAAGCCGTCGTCAGTGGCATGACGTGAAAGAAGTATGTACCTTTGCATTCAATGCAGCAGTGGTGACTTCATTCAATACTGGACGTTGCACGCCGTTCTTACCAACGGCTGAAGGGAGTCGGCTGCCGCCAACGGCGAGCTTACCGCCCGACGGCTGACGTGCGTGCTTGCTCGTGGTATTCTCGTCCGCGAGCTTTGGGCGTTGGAACCCTAAGCGGTTTCGCAGGGGAAACTGTGAAGTGTAAGAGATAGAGTAGTTTCATCGCCGTGCAGAACGTACTCGTGTGTTGTTGCTGGACATGTCGATGAAGAATAAGATGAAATTGAAGTGTTACCGCTGGTTGCTACAGATGTTTATGTACGAGAAGCTAGTGGAAGACGAGTTGTGTTGGCGGCAGGACGGAGGGAGAGAACGGTCGAGCCTAGTTGCGCGGTGGCAAGGAGTGGAAGAGACAAGCGTCAGCCGTCGCGCGGCGCCTGAAAAGCTGTTCGAACCATTTCACGCGTCGCGAACTGTTCACGTGACATGACATAGCGGAAGCAAATTACGCGACCACAATCGTGGGAATGTGATATCTGGGAGTCGTGTCGCGTTTAATTAGGGGCCCTTTGCAGCCATCCTGTTCATCGTCAGTCTCGTAATTTCTGGGGCGCTATTGATGTCTTTCATTGCTCCTACGGGTGGATGGTCTGAACGCTCTATCCAAATGCCTTAACGTGTACATCTTTCCAGTCGGAACGCGTCCTGGGACTTTGTACTCGTCATAGTAGCCGGTCCTCTGCTCTTGCGCAGTGATATATGACTCTCCGCCGACGCGGGAGCACCTCCGTACGCCCGTGGTCTGATGGATTGCATTAAGAGTCTCTCTTTTGTTGTCATTCGAATGCCTGCTTTACTCTAAACTGCGTCGCGTATAGCTATCCTACATCTCTGCTAAGTACGAGATAGCCCTCGTTACTTTCCGTCTATTCTCGTTCCTGGCAATTACGAAGATCGTCCAGTAAGGTTTTCATCACCTGCTGATCGCGTTGTGATAGTTGATTAGGGCCATCTGCCAGTTTCTGACTCCGCTCATGATCATTGGTGCAAGAATCTTGAGATATCTGCTTTGTGTGAGCCGCAATCGCTAGTCTAGCATGCACATCCCCCTCTGGTTTGCACTGTGGCTCTGCTGCTATGTCGCCGCTAGTGCCCAAGCTCAACAGGACTTCAACGTAACCAGCAGAGATCCGAGGATCTCATACGTCGGGCAATGGGTGGACCAAGATAACGGAGGGCATAAATTTACGGGGAGCGTCGGCTCTTCCTTTTCTTTCACATTCCAAGGCATGTCCATACGATACTTCGCTGGCCTTCAATGTGCTAAGCGGAATGGTTATAGGAACTGCGGTATACTGGCACGCAACGGCTGACCCGAACGGTGGGGTAGCGTCTGCGGTTGTGTACGACGACCAGACCTCGTACTCCAATCCCATCAAGAGCGCCATCGTAGATGCGTCCAGCGGCACGACTCGGGACTCTAATCCAGTCCTGACGACGCTCTTCTCCGCCACTGGCCTCTCTCCGTCCAGGCACAGTACCTTGAACGTCTCCTATATCGGACCTGGCAGCCTGGGCGGACCATACGTCGAAATCTACACGATCGAGTAAGTACCACGCCGTGCATCTCATGTGATAGAGTCACGGTCACTAAAGTGTATCATGAGGTATGACGGCGTACAGAGTGCTGCTCCCACTGGAACAAGCAGCAGTCAGGGCAGTTCGGGGAGTCAATCTTCGAATTCGAGCAGCAGCGCTTCCCACAAGTCTGTCAATATCGGCGCCATTGTGGGCGGTGTCGTGGGTGGCGTGTTGGGCGCTGTGGTTCTTGCCCTGCTCCTTGTGTATTTGCTGCGCAGGTATCGCCGTCCCGTGCCCTTAACGCCCGGTGAGTAGCAAAATGGTGCCGCAGACAATAATACCCCTGACCAGCCCCAGGAATGGTTACGCCTTTTGAACCAAAGCCCTCATTAGAGGCCGCTGATGCACGTCCTATTCATAGAATTCCAGCACTGATACCTCAAGACCCGTATCCCAGCGCCTTGCCATCGTTTCAGCGGGACCAGGTGTTCGACACAGGGGGCGGAAGCGTCTCTGGATCGACACGAAGTCAGCCCTGGTCCGAAGACCCGAGCACCTTGTACCAGTCACCCACCAATGGCCCCGTGCCCCCACGGACTGATTGGCATTCAAGCCGGAGCACAGGTCCTTCATTCGATCATGCGGCCTCACCGCCGCCACCTTACTGAGCGCTGAGGGGGCCGGTAACTATAAACTATTAGACTGCAGAGTGCGTCTATAGGCACTGCCACATATCTGTACTTGTCATATTGCAATTCGTGAACGCTAAGGAGAGCTTCACCTGAGGGCCTGGAAATCCCGCCGACGTCTGCATCTCGGACACGGATCGGAGCTTGTATACGGAGAGACTAGAATACATCAATGAATGGGTATAGCGAGTGCCGCCCTTGGGAAGTGTCATAAGTTCATTCTCGGGACTGCTGAGCTTTCTCCTCGTGACCGCTTCTCCTCCATTAACACGCCCAACTGCAAGACCCGTACAAAAATCTCTTCGTCGGTGAAGCGCAGGGGAACCAGACCACTCATCTCCAGGTATCGTATGCACCGCATGACCCACCCCACGCTCGTCCAGCCGCGCCCGCCCGTCGGATAATCGTCGCGCTCGGGGCCGAATGCACTGAAGAATTCGTCCAAGTCGTCTTCGGTAGCGGGGACGCGTGCGACGTGAACGACGCCCACGAGCTTGGTCGACCCGTACAACGGTCTCTGGCTGAAACGCGTTTTCCACGCTGTTGGCCGGCCTTCGTCGTCGCGGTTGATCAGTTCGTAGGTTCGGACGATCGGGGCGTCGTATGACTGGGGATGCATGGCCAGCGTCCAGTGGTAGGCGGTGGCGCCCATGTCCATACCCTTGTGTAGGGCAATTCCAACTAACATCGATGGCCCATCACCTGCAGTGATCAGAGAACTTGTAAGCATGGCATAAGCAAGAGAAGTGCTGCAAACGTACACTCTGCTGCCATGAACTTCAGGAAGGATATCTGACGCGTCGGGGCGATGGTGAACGACAGTGGGGGCCACCGTCGCCAGTCCAAGTGGCTGAGACGGCACGATGAAGTCTCGATACTTGGTGACGTACGGGGGCAGAAGGGGAGCTGATCTCGCGGCGGGTGAAGATATTAAATACTGACAGACGCACTGCCGAGATTACATATGAAGGCGCATTGACAGGGCGAGGGCACATGTCCACGATAAGACGGCCGTGAAGCCTGCGCGGACTACACCCATGAACTTAAACATCGCGCCTCCCAGCAACGCCCGGAGAAGCGCTCCTCCTCGTTCCAGGGCCCGCAGGCGCCCACGTTAAAGCGTCTGAAATCCTTTCCGAATTCGAAATCACCAAAGTGCGGGGTAACACCGGCATCAATATCACATGCATGACGCCCTGTCCTGTTATTAACAGCTCTCGGTAGCCTGCGCTCGTCAGTCACGACCGCTGTTCACAATGTCGGAGTTATCGTTCAAAGGCCACACCGTCGTCGTCACGGGCGCAGGAGGCGGCTTGGGCAAAGCGTCAGTCTGCACACCCGACTGCCATGGCGTAACTGACCGGCTGCTGCAGCTACTCATTACTGTTTGCTTCCCGGGGGGCGAACGTGGTGGTGAACGATGTCAGCCAGGCTGCAGCGCAGAAGGTGGTTGATCAGATTACTCAGGGTCAGTTCGGAGTAATACCTGTGAAGCAAGCAGCTGATCCCCGCCTACGCGTGAAGCCGGAGGACGCGCAGTGGCGAACACGTCCTCGGTAGCGGATGGTGCCGCCGTTATACAAACAGCTCTTGATGCTTTCGGAGGGGTGACCATATTGATCAATAATGCCGGTATCCTGAGAGACAAAGGGTGAGCACCAGTTCCCAAGCCGGATATACGCCATGACGAATATATTATCCAGTTTCAAGAACATGACAGATCAGGAGTGGGATCAGATTCAGTTAGTACACCTCAAGGGAGCGTTCTCATGCACGAAGGCTGCGTGGCCCCATTTCCGAAAGCAGAAGTTCGGACGGATCGTCAACACCTCCAGCGCTGCCGGATTGTACGGTGTGTTCTCGGGAATTCTCTCTAGTACGAATGTGAACTGAGGGATCTGCCATATAGGGAACTTTGGCCAAGCAAACTACAGCGCGGCTAAGATGGGACTGGTCGCGTTCACCAAGACCCTAGCCCGGGAGGGTGCCAAATACAACATTAAGGCGACTGCCATCGCCCCGGTACGTCATTATGTGTAGCGAACGCCTCAGTTACTGATTCACCGGACCGACAGATGGCAGCTTCCGCTATGACGGAAACTATTATGCCCCCGGAGTTGCTTGCAAACCTTAAGGTTCGTATGCCGGATCTCGAGCCGAGTGACTGTGGCTGAATTAGATGATCAGCCTGAATTTGTAGCTCCTTTCGTTGCTGCTGTCACGCATCCGGATGGACCGGACGCCTCTGGCAAGGTATACGAGGTCGGTGCTGGATTCGTCGCAGAAATCCGATGGGAACGTAGCAGGGGTGCCATCTTCAAGACAGATGCTTCCTTTACACCATCTGCTGTATGTCTTCCCACATACACGTTTCTTCAATTGCTCTGAAGTATCTTGCCTGGGTATCTAGGTTAAGGCTAAATGGTCGGAGGTCACCGACTTCGAGAATCCCACATAGTACGTCGTTTCTCGAGTGTGAGATTGTCTGATGCTGATCATCCGATAGCCCTACCGGAATGTCGGATTTCGACGCAAAGGTACCAGGGATAGCTTCTATAGTAAGACTTGAGCTGATCGTTATGTTTGCGACCGATACAGGGCACGCTCGAGAAGGCGTCGCAGCTGCCTCCTAATCCGCAGGCGAAGCCTGAAGTCCGATTCGATGGTAAGACCGTCATAATCACCGGAGCAGGTGCCGGTCTTGGGCGCGCATACGCTTTAATGTATGGGCGTCTCGGTGCCAATGTGGTTGTCAATGATGTCAGCGAGAAAGGCGCCAAGGCAGTGGTGGAGGAAATCACCAAAGGTGGGTAAGGGACCATTGCCTCCGAACATATTCTCACTATGTAATCGATCCCGTCTGTTGCAGCCGGTGGAAAGGCGGTTCCTGCGATCGGTTCTGCGGAAGATGGCGACAGCCTTGTCAAGATTGCGCTAGAGAAGTTCGGGGGAGTCCATGTTCTTATTGCTAATGCCGGGATACTGCGAGACAAGTCATTCACGGCGATGTCCGAGCAAGAGTGGGATGCAGTCATTGCTGTTCACTTACGGTATGTTCCTGTGGACACGGAACATTATCTTATCTAACCTCCCCATCTATCAGTGGAACCTACAAGGTATTATATCTTCAATGAAGGAGACGCCCGACCTGAATTTTCAATATCGGCTAGTGCTGCAAAGCCGTTTGGCCCATCTTCCAAAAGCAAAAGTACGGGCGCATCGTTACCACATGCTCACAAGTCGGGATCTGTTAGTCGTTCACTTTTTCTACCTCTACTATGCTTACAGTTGCTTTACAGACGGAAACTTCGGCCAGGCTAACGTAGGTTCTATTTTCTGTTGCACCTACTCTTGACCACAATGCTTGTTTCACAGTACTCCACGGCCAAGGCTGGTATCCTCGGCTTGACCAGAACCCTTGCCATCGAAGGCCAGAAATATAACATCATAGCGAACAGTATTGCTCCTTCAGCAGGTACAGCGATGACGGCGACCATATGGTATGGTGTCTAGACCCTCTGCAACACAATCACTGAAGTTTTCCATAGGCCTCAGGAGTGGCTTGATGCGTTCAAGGTACGTATAATATTGATGGTAATACACAGGCGTGTCTAACGTAGGGCTCCAGCCAGACTATATTGCACCCGTAGTTGGATACCTGTCGAGTGAAGGTACGACGGTTCTGGAAATCTGTAGCGCGCGGAATGGCTGACAGGGGTTTCACAACAGCCAATGAGGAGACAACCGGATCCCTGTTCGAGATCATGGGTGGTTGGGCAGCACAGACCAGGTGGCAACGGGCTGGAGGGCACGGGTTCCCTGTCAACAAGACTCTTACACCCGAAGCTATCCTCTCGAAATGGAGTATCATCAGCAATTTCGGTAAGACGTGACACGTACCTTAGTCCGTTTTCTAACCACATCACTAGATGACGGCCGTGCGACAAATCCGTCATCTACTGCCGAGGCTAGTCAGCAGGTACGACGTCAAATCGCCCGGTATCGTATCTCACCTAACCGTCACCTCCTGCAGCTCCTGGAGAACTTCCAAAATACGGCTTCAGACGAGTCAAGTTCTGACTCGTACGCTGACCCTGAGGATTCTCCTTTGGTTGCGGAGGCGAAGAAGAATGTGCCGGAACCTGTGGAGTACAGCTATACCGAGCGGGATGTTATCTTATACAACTTGGGTATAGGCGCCACTGAGAAAGAGCTCCAATGGACATACGAAGGCCATGATCAGTTCGCGGCACTGCCGACGTTTGGTGTGATTCCACAATTCCAGGCCAGTGGCGGCATACCGCTGGATTTCCTTCCGAACTTTAACCCGGTCAGTCGCCTAATCGCTGCAGCAGCTGGTCTAGTGTCTGACCATGTAGTTTAGGCCAAGTTACTACATGGGGAACAATACCTCGCCATTAAAGCCCCCATCCCTACCAGCGGTGAACTTGTCAACGAGGCCAGGTAGGCCCATTTGCCTTCCACAGATCGCGCTGGTATCTGAGAGCTGACTCTTGGTGCAGGATTTTGGAGGTACTGGATAAGGGAAAAGCTGCAGCTGTCACGTCCGTGGTCCAGACGAAAGACAAATCGTCGGGCAAGGTGATCTTCGAAAACCAGTCTACCGTCTTTATTCGCGGCTCTGGTGGGTTCGGAGGCAAGCGAACTGGCAAGGGTAAGTCGGTATGAAGTGTCCTCGGGAGTGTGCTAATCATAGATGCTTGCAGATCGCGGTCCGGCTACCGCAGCCAACACTCCGCCAAAGCGGGCACCAGACGCTGTGATGGAGGAGAAGACCCTTCCTACGCAAGCCGCGCTATACAGGTATGCATAGGAGCTCTCCTTGGTGTTGTTGGGATACAGAGAACCTTTGCTCTTTTAGACTGAGTGGCGATTACAACCCCTTACACGTGAGTGTTATTCTGTACATTGCGCTGCCGAGGCTGATCTAGGGCTAGATCTTACCCGAGTTTGCGGCTGTAGGAGGATTCGACAAGCCGATTCTTCATGGTGGGTTGCATCAGATAGTGTGAGGGGTTCGTTTTCTGAAGCGGTGTTATAGGCCTGTGCTTCATGGGATTCTCCGGTAAGCATGTCTTGAAGTGCTTTGGAGACTACAAGGATATCAAAGTCCGGTGAGTGATACTCCGGTGTCGTGCTCTGGCAAGCCTTCATAAGTTGTGACAGGTTCGCCGGCGTGGTCTACCCTGGTGAGACCCTGGTGACGGAGATGTGGAAGGAGGGCGACAAAGTCCTCTTCGGTACGTTATTCACAATTCCAGCACGTCGTAGGGAGGTTCTCATGGCGTACAAACAGTGACCAAAGTAAAAGAGAGGGGCACTACGGTGCTTGCCAACGCTGCGGTCACCCTCGTCGACCCCGGCAAACCCCTCAAGGCGAAGCTCTGATGAACCCTATTATTGTATTTTCCCACTGTACATATTACTATCAATCACTATTGACTGTATTCCTACTAGTCGTACAGCTTCGAGCCGTGTATCGGTCCGCAGTGTAAATGCACGTGTATACGAGGAACTGCTGCCGGATATACTGTTCCAAGCCGAAGCAACTCTAGGATGAGGATGGAACCGCCCATCCGCGGTTGGGTCCATCGTGATATAAGATAGTTAGTCGTAAGCAGGCATGTATATGATTTTAAGGCGTTGAGATGGGTATAGTAGGACTAGCAGTCAAAGACACTTGCGCCTGCAGAACTAGTCAGTCTCGTGCCGACCATTTACAACGGAGCATTTACGCACCGGGAATATAGAACCAGAAGGCAACAGCAAGAATAATATATAGACCTGGCAAGCTCGTCAGGAAAGTTGAAGGCAGACTTCGTGGGTGAAGGCACTCACAAATCAGGATCATTCCCTCCAACCAATTCGACTTCCCATCAGCAACCACGTAGTTCACGGTGATGACTGTAAGTAGAAAGATGAGTATTTCGCAAGTTCAGAATTATCGGACCGAAACGTACCAGACAAGAACAGGGCGATGGCCTCAAACGGATCGAACAGAAGCGACAACGGCTTGCCCATGATCCACGCGAGCGTCACGATGAATCTGCAGCGAACATACGACGTCAATAATTGTCCCATAGCACACCACAGTGAGGAGACTCACGGAATGACAAACAACGCAATTTGCTGGAAGTACACTGTCAGCCTACATAACACGGGGTGGCAGTCATTCACTTACGATACTCGACCCGACCGCAACGCCAATACTGAGCGTCAGCTTGTCTTTGACCGAGACAGTCACAGCAGTTACGTGCTCTGCAGCACCCTCATGTCAGCGTCGCCTGCTTTTCCTCGAGCGGTCAAAACGCACCTGCGGCGTTACCAACGATGGGCAGGAGGATCATGCCGACGAATTCCTTGCTGATGGGGGTGCTGTCCGTAAGTCCGTCGATGGAGTCGACGAGGAACTCCGCGGTGACGGCGACCAACTAGCGGGGCCAAGTCAGCACCGCGGCGCGCATACCAGGAGACACACGCAGCGCGGGACGTACCACCGTGACAGCTACCAACAGTACAACGCTCATGAGGACGTTCAGCGTCGGCTCCTCGACCTCCTGCTCCTGCTCCTCCTCCTGCGCAGCACCGCCATTCTCAAGGTCCGCGCCCTCCCCGTTCGCAACGGCGCCGTTCGTAGCAGTCCCGTTCTCCACGGTGTTGATGCCCTCGCCGTTGGCGGCGACGCCGCCCTGGGAAAGCATTTCCTTGTCAGCGTTCGCTTCCCTGCGCTTGCGGATCGCGGCGAGCGGGTTGACGTTCACGCGCGGGAAGATGTGCCCGCCGCCCTCGCGCTGGGCGTACCGCGTGGACTGGATGACGTCGACGCCGTCGTCGTCGTACAGGGCCTTGTGCGAGAATAACTGAAATACAATGTACGACACATAGACTGATGTGCACAAGTCATACCGTTAGTATGTCGAGCGAAACGGGGTTCGAGGGAACCACACTGACTGAAAAGTAAGATAATAGCGGTCTACGAGGGGTAGCCACATGTTCAGCGGGCGCAAACTCACAGCGGAAGACAGACAACGTGCTTACTCCGTGGCTGACGCTCAGAATTTCGCTGTTCTCCTGACCTTCGCCAATCGACGAGCTGTCGGCGAACTGGAACGCGGCAGGAAGGAGTACACCGATGACGCTCAAGATTAATAGCGACGAGTTGATCTGTGCTGCGCCTAGAGGATATGTATGTCAGACCTTGGCAGTCGGCGGGAGCTGACCACCAGGGGGATACGCACTGGCTCCAAAGCCTTGCTCGGAGAAACGGGTTCCACCGGCGAAGAAGCACATTCCAAGGACCAGCACTGTGATGTTTGACAGACGTTAACATCAATGCGCCGCATATAGTCTCGCCACTTACGCAAATTACTGAGGATTGATCCCACAACTGATGGAATTCGCGTTAGACATCATCCAGGATGCTGCAGAGGTACGTACGAGACGATTGCACGACTGTCAGTTGGCATTGCACCAAGGCAATGATCTATTCAACGTCAAAACTCAAGTCTTTCGCGCAACATCGAAGATACATACAGCAACAATCAATTCCACACTGAATGGGAGAGTGAGCAAGGATAACGAAGGATATTGAGATTGACTAACGCATTTCCGAGTGTAGCATTCATCAGGCCTGCGAGTGTTTGTCCCACTCGCAGTGACAGTTCTTCCGTGGCAAATGCCAATAACTGTGATCCAAGGTGTCAGAAACGTCTCCGTAGTCGACATGCGGCGCACTCACTTTCGCAAGGGGGATAATGGCCAAAAACGAGACTAAACCCAACAACAGTTTACCTACTCTCTAACGGTAATGAGTTGGCTGGACTCACATACGAATACCAGGGTATTGTCTAGATGGGCAAAGTGGAATGCCCACTAATGTGGCGTATGGATGAGTCCGGGAGAACATTGAGGGGTGGCGAGACACTCACGGATAACGGAATGAAGACGAGCAGTAGATTCAACCCTGCGCATATACCTCGTGAACGGGGCTCCTCTACGAACAGCAGAAGTCCGCTTACATGAAGCTTTGACAATGGCCATGGCACTCGCCATGTTCGTCGGTTCATGACGTATTGGCTTGTCCCGCTTCAGGTTCTCTGAAAGGACAGTCCTGGTGCGGTTGAGGAAGCCCCCGCTCGCAGCCCGAGCAGTGGACGTCGTCGACTGTCGGGACTCTCGTTTGTTCCGAAACTGGGTATTTCGACGGGGACTGGACGGCGCAAGCTCCTCTGTGGGCGATGCCACCCGGACGTTGCGTTCTGGGTCGGAGGACATTGAGGAACTCGTCGCTGATCGTGAGGCGGTGGGCTGGAGCTCGATGAGATTCGAGGAGGAAGAGGCTTCACCCAAAAGCATCGTTAGCTGTCAACAAGGGAACACTGATGGGGCGTAGCACGAACGCATGCGAAGCGCAACCGATCACTTGTTGACACCGGTGGCGCGGAATCGTTGAGAAGCACTCGTAGGCGCTGGGCAGCGTTTATGGGCGTTTAGAAAGGGCGGAGGGGAGGGCAAAAGAGTGGACTCGGGCAGACGCAGGGGTATAAGAGCGGTTACACAAGGCAGGGCTGTATATGACGCCTGTCTCGCAACGATGTGGCCCCGCTTCGGCGCGGCGCCAAGCATGGCGCTCTGCGGCTATGCTTCTGTCATACACACGACTTGCAGCTGCGCTTCCCCTTTCAAGTCCGATTTGCACGAGGCTCTGAACGCCGCAGAGCTTTTTGTAAAAAAAATCGCTTTCTCGGAAGTCTCACTGTTGGAAGAACGAGGGCTGCGGCGCCCACGGAGAGAAATATCTAGCCCTAACTGCATAGCTTATGCCCGGTTGCCCAACTTTACGATACACCGATCGCAAAGGCTATTTGATGCAGGCCACAGCGCTATTAGGTTGATACTGTCCGGAACCCTGCAGTCGCAAACCTATGAGCATCTAGATCGCGCGGAGTGGACAACTCTGACGTCCATGCTCACGAGTTGTCAATAACGTGTAATAGTGGATACAGGCGTACATGTAGGCTTCAGCCCACGCCTTCATTCCCAGACTGCGATGACCCGCGATGGTGGAGACCTCCACTTTTACTGACGAACTTCGACATAGCGTCACCCTGCCCGTATCAAGCTTTTAGGTCTGGAAGACGATATGGGCGCCTATGAGCGCCGGCGTCTATCTAGACGCCTTCCGTCACTGATTTGCAGTGCCCACCGTATGGGTACGTTCTTCCGATATATGTAGGTCATCTTGATCAACACTCAGTATGAACAGGCAGCCCTGGTCGCGTTGACTCTACATGGCCAGCTACGAGTAACTGTTCTACTAGTACTATTGGTACTCGACTTCACCGAGAATAATTGATCGCACAACCTCAGCTCCGACAAAATGCAAGATGTCAAGCATAGCTATCTCCTTGCTCAGATATCACCGAGATGACAGGTATCCCGAGCATTGATGAACAGCCCAGAAGACCCATGATCACGGTAAGCTGTGAGTGCATGGAAACCCTGACCCTGAGGTTAGGTGTATGTGTACTGGATTCTTCAAAGTGATGGTTGAGGAGTCTCCGTTCGGGGCGCTGGCTATTATTAGTCGGACGCTGCTGTACCCCTTCGCTGAGCCCTATTCAAAAGCTACGAAATCAATTGACGCTGGAAGGGAACATGGGGGTCCCAGCCGCTGCAGCTCGACGTTAGGCGAGGGCCTGCTGTATCAAACGTAACGTCCAGCCAAGGAGGGTAGGTAAGTATTACATGCACGTGACACCACGGACCCCCTTGCACGAGGCAGTAAGAATGAATCTGCAAATTTATGGACGGCGTTCAACATGACCGAAGCACTAGACCTTGACTAGACCGCACAACGAATTCATTATTGAGTAGTTCATTGCTCAAAGCATTAACAATTACAGATCCCCCTGATGTACATACACCCTTTTATACATGAAGCAGCCAGCAGGCGTTTGTTTTTCTCTTCTTGTTGTGAACCATTGGCGCACTTAGCAACGATGCATTATCCTTGATAGGCGAAAGACACCGCCCCGTAAAGCCCGTCCTCCCTGCCTAGCAATCCCTGACCGTGCAGGATCTATACCGTATGGACAAGTACGCATGAGACCTCCATATCAATCTGGCTGAAATGCGTTAAGTACGTACCTCCATTTTACGCGCATGCCAGCCGACCCCGCTGTTCACATTCCCGTTCGCATACGCGAGCCTCTCCATCTCAACGCGGAGCGGGTGGTCAGGCGCAAGCCCGCGACAAAGCTGCTCGCCACCCTCATTCTGCCGAGGCGCAGCGCCGGCGGAAGGCGTGGTGACCCAGCCGCTCGCGACATCCACGTACCACCCCCGCCCGCCCTTGCTCCTGATGACCCTCCACGATCCGGCACCCGCGCCCAGCCCGCCCAGCAGCGCCGGCGAGAGCTCGATGACGCGCAGCCGCGTCGGCGCCTGCGCGGGCGCGCTCGAGCCCGCTGACAGGCTGAACGACACGAGCGCGGTGCACAGCGGCCGGATGATCTTCGCGTGCAGCGCGAGCGACGCCGCGCGCAGGGGCACGCGCGTCTGCCCGTACCCGAGGTCCGGCGACGTCGACGCCAGTGTGAGGACCTCCACGTGTGGCGCTTTCGTCTTCAGGAACTCGGCGATGATATCCAACGGCAGGTTGGCGATGTGCGACAGCCCGAGGGAGCGCAGCTGCGGCTGGGGAGGGCAGGCGGTGAGCAGCACTTCCCTTGTCAGGGGGGAACTCGACAGGTCGAGGTATCGAAGCTTGCCGCTCGTGAAGCAGCGTGCGCGGGTCAATACGTCCCTCAACTCGTCCACAGACAACGGACAAGGGAACGTGCTGTCGCCGTACAAGCTGAGTTCCTGGATATCACTAGCCGCCTCTGCTTCGACTAAGAAATCACGGATACTCTCCCCTGTCAGACGCGTGCATCGACCAATAGACAGTGACTGCAGGCGAATAGAGGAGGCCGCTAAGGAGGTGAACAGCTCAGGCGTGATCCGAGTGCATGACAGGTCGAGATGAGTGAGAGAAGGGCAGGAGAGAACGAACTGATGTAGCACGGAGTGCGCCAGAGATTTAGCACCATAGAAGCCCAGCCGCTCAAGGCCTTCCAGGACATGTGTGTTGCCGGCAGCAAAGCGCGATCTCCTACCGCCGAAACGGTCCGTACCCTCATCGTCTGAGGTGGGGTCAGAGGGTGGGGTTAGGTACGTGTTGACAAAGTCTGTCAGGGCATGCACGAAGACGGCGCTAACACAGCCGGTGAAATCGGCAGCCACTATTTCTTTGCATTCTCGGAGTCTCTCCTTCTCCTCCTCGTCGGCGTCCGAAGTTTCAGGCGTACGACCCCGAAAGCGGCGGCCGCGCGACGACGATCCTCTAAGGAATAGTTCCTTCAACACGGGAAGTGTCAATGCACCGTCCATATATTCCGTTGCACCAAAGACCGTGAGGTTCGGCATTTCCTGAACAAAATAAGGGGTTAAGTTACTGGAACAGGGCATTTATGTGTCGCTTACCTTGATAATGGCTTCTAGTCGGTCCCCTGTGACGAAGCGGCTGTTGACGCCCTCTTCGACTGACCTACGCATCCCTATGGTACGGAAGTGATTGAAGTCTAGGTGACGGATGTGCCGTCCTGGACGTGGGTCTTCAGGGATGGGTACTGTACCAGTGATGAGATATGTTCCGCAATGAGATTTCTGATGCGTCATCGCACTCACCATAGACCGCTACTTCATCCCGCCCCAAAACCGTTTGTACCGCATCACTAATAGACCTCATCAGCTTCCATCTCACTGGGCTCTTGCTCTTCGCACGCAGACGCCTGGGACTGGGGTCTCTGGAGGCAGGAGGGGACAGGAGCTCAGGCGGGATAGGTCCTCCGGGACCACCGAGAGTAGCCAGGATACTCTCGTGCAACTTCTCCGCACAGGTGGGGTCTGCATCGTCGCCAAAAATATTGCGAGCGGCCAGTACCGCGTTCTCTGCTTCCTTAATCGTCTGCCCAAGGACTAGGGCGGCCTGTTGCTCCGCTGCTTCCTCATCGTCGCCGCCGACCACAGCATCAATCAGGGATAGCCAGCTCCGAGGCAGCCGGACCTCGACTTTGCGCCAGAGCCAAGGCTTTGCGGCGTCGTGCCAGGCACGGTTAGCGAGACTCAGGCTGTGTAGAGTCTTACGCGCGACGGGTTCGGGCCAATTTGCGGGGGGAAGCGAGGAAGGAGTGGAAGTAGGTATGCCGTGCTCAGCGAGAATTAGGGGGTCCAGCGATGGCTGGACAGGGGGCAGGCCGGCGTAGTAAACATGCGCGCATATCGTGAACAGCAGCTCTGGCGGGAAGTTCTCAACGCCGGAAGGTACACGAGGAATGGAATGATCAGTCGACATTGTGACGTCGGCCCGGTAATATCAAGTGTTTTAGGGAGGTCTGTTACTCAATCTGGATCTTGACCACCAGCTGATTGTGGAGGTTACCAAGCTACCAGCAGCGACGACACAGCGACGGGGGTTCCCGTGAACCTTTGTCAACGTATACGATGGTCAGCTTCGGTCTAACCAAGAATTGACGGCGATGAAGGGTGGCAGGGCCGCGGAACTAAGGCGATGGTCCATGGTGAAGAAGAATAACATTGAGGGGCGTACTCACCTAAAATTTACGGCTGATTTACTTGTATCCGCCTTGCGTGGCTCTCCCGCGAGCCAGGCTGTATCGAGCTGAAGAATTGCGGCAGAGAGATCCGTCAAGGGGGGCAGCTCGACTTCGAGGTATATGATAGTCGTAGATATTGCCAAAGGTTTTATGGGGACAAGAGGCGTTGGTGGTCGTGCAGTGAAGAGTTTCAAGCAACCTGGGCGACTGGACCGGGCCCGCCATGAACCACATAGCCTTTTATAGGTCCAAAGAAGAACCGCCGAGCACAACCGAGGAGGTCTTCCTCCGATTCCACGTGCGTCGGACGTAGGTAAACAAACACAAGTAAACTTCCGCTACCGACCCCAGTGTGCCTGACGGGTGGCGTCGCAACCTCTGCACTCGACGCCTCCTCCCTTTGCACAGTCGTATATTCCAATCCATGTATATTTCTGACCTTTGTCTCGCAAAGTCTTCCTTTCTCTATCGTGTCACGGACATTTGTGTCGCCCGCGTCCATTCAGTCAATTTTCTGGGGTTTCATGTACCCGCACGTGCCTGCGGTCACCTGCGCCCCTGCTCAATACTTGAAGCTTCTTTCTTGTGCCATCCACACTGCGCACTCCTCGCTGGAAGTGATGCCATTGTCGCAATCCTGCGCTCAGTCATTCGTGGTAAAATGACTCGTCAAGTTGGTGCTGCGACATCACCTGTGGCAGGCACCACGCTCTGGTGCAGTACAGCATTCTTAAAATGTTCAATGGACATCATAAGAGATGGACATTCGCCCCGCATTGCGGATCCTGCGAGCTATGTGCCCATTGCCTTCACACTCGTCTCTGCATGACCTCCCGGTACTTTTCTGAGCATAAAGGCTATCTGCCGTCGGCAACCTTGAGGTTCTCTCGAGTTCTTTACTCACACGATGCAGGAGGCAGTCATTCTTCACGTACCAGGCCAGACAGCCGAGGCGCCCTACGTACCGTGACTGTGTCAGAAGCGACATCAGACACCCGAGCGGAATTGCAATGGATCTGCATGTGCTTTGGCTCAGCAGCAACCCCTAGAAATCCATTCAAGAGCAGATGACTTCCCCCGTGGCTTACTCGCCGGGCAGACATTGCACGTCCAGAGGTACAGGGAACGAATAGCGGCCATGTTTTTGTCTGTCGCATAGGGCAACGGTATTAACATTAACTTCAACCCTTGACGTAAAAGTCGTACTGTCGAAACATCCAAATTAAAGACGTAGCTTCAGCAGAAGCAACCACCATATGTCAGTCTACCGCGACCTGGCGCAATAATGTGGGGGAAGCACTCACTGGAGACAATCACTGGGCTGATCACGCCAGCGTTGAGCTTTGCGGTACGGAAGATGAGCAGCTCTGATGAGAAGTGACCGAACGCGAGGAGGTACGTGAAGAGTGCCATGTCGTACACGCTGGCGCAATGTATCAGAACTGTCTCGTCATTAGAGTACAGGCTGGAGACATACACTTTTTCATTTATGTGATATGCAGCATAGAATCGCACCACGGCCGACGTGAGAGTCCATATTGCGAATGTACGAGCCTGCAACGGTGTAACTGGTATCCGGCCACATCTCAGAATCCGACCCATAAGAAGTGAACTGTTTACGAACCTAGATGCTCGGGGACTCTGTCATATATTCTTCTAGTGAGTTTCAGAGTTGCGAAGTTCTGTGCAGTGTTGAACACCGCCATGACAGCAACCAGTAGCTGCCATTTTGGCAGCAATCCCGAGGCCTCCGGTAGAGGTATTACTGGACTCATGTCAGGTCAACATACATCACAACCCGAACGAACGAAAGGCATTACTCACAGTCGGCTAACACTGCCATGGAGATGTCGGTGCGACGGTTGAGCAGGTCACCGAACTCCCACCGTGAGCTGGCGTCGTTATAACTGCATGATAGACGCCCCTTTCTGCCCGCCAAAACGCGGCCTAATTTAGTAGTTCCGGATTTTAAGGACCCGAGAGTCTCAGTGTAATATCCCGTCAACTTCCATGTTCATTCATCCCCACTGACGGCCATGGCGTCCACTGTCGAGCCCCGCGCTATTCCGAACGAATCCTGGAGCGAGGCAGTCGCAGGCGACGCGTCTCTGTCGGGTCCTTCTCTTACGCGCCGATCGCGGACGAGAACTAGATCGAAGACAGCTGCTCCAGGATCACGAAACCGAGGGAAAAGTGCGGGGCCTCCGACGACAGGGAGTAAGAGATTTGGCGACGCGGACGTGCCCGTACCAGGCTCCGACGCTATGCACGAGTCGATGGCCAAATCCACTGCGAAGAGTACGATGGACACGCGAGGGGAGCGAGATAGTACATCGACGGGTGCTACTCGAGACTATCGGGTAACTCTGCAGGACACGGGTTTTGCGCGCCAGGGGCAGACTGAAAGGGTGAATGCAGGAGATTCGCCCGGCGAGCTATCCTGGAACGAGGTGAGTACGCGAAGGCCAGGAATCGGATATATATTGAAGTACGCTGCTCTCATGATATAGGCCACACGTCGGAAGAGGTGCCAGAGCCTTCCTCGGAAGTTCGGTGGCAAGCCAAGTTCCTCGTCAGATTCGTCCTCCCAGCCGAGCCCATCAACTCCCATACCGTCAATGCGAACGTATCCTATGGTCAAGACGCCTTCGCGTGACGGAATACGGAACTCCATCATCTCCCAGCAATCCGCTACATCGTCCTCCATATACCCGGCATCCACGATCACTCGATCCGATACCATGTCCACTCGGAGGTTCTTCTCTGATGACGACGACGACGTTCTCGATTCGCGACTGCAGGAATATATCAATTTCGACGTGGACGATGTGTCTGACCGACTCCGGCTGCTGGTTACTAATAGCTATTTCCTCCCCCCTGCACATTCAAAGCCCGCCCTGCCCAAGCCTGCATTGAGTGTGCCCAAGAACGCAACCAAGTCTAGCAGTCCTGGTTTTTTAGACATATTCCGACTGGGGAAATCGAAGTCTAAACCCACCACACCGGAAAGCGAGGCTCCTGGCCCTTTCCTGCCCGTGCTGCGCACCACATCGGACTCTACGACAGCGTCGGGATGGTTCCCTGCGCAAGCTCCCTCACGCTCTGCCCCTCCTTCTCCTGCTCCGCATGAGTATATCCGTCAGGTCAGGGAATCAAATCGTACTCCGAGGGTCGTGGTGGTGCGCGAAAAGATGGACGATCTGATTGCTGCCGCAAAGGAAGCGGAAGAGGTTTTCAAGGCCCGCCTGGATAATGGTCCTGTCCCGCTTCCAGTGGACGATGTCATTGACCCCACGGATTCTGTTGACATGCCCCATCTGCAGTCACAGTCTCTGACCGTTGGGGACAGTATGGATGCTGCTGTCTTGGCTGATGCCCTCGTGCCACCTGCGACAAGTCCTGGCCTTTGGTCTCTGGATTCACAGGAAGAGAAGTGGAGGAAAGCTCTACTGCACGAAGCGGTTGGTCACTCTTTTCACAGCACCGGTGTTAGATCTTCGCAGAGCAGTCCGTCTGCTTCCCCTGCTCCCTCCGTAGCTCCGGCTCGAAGCTACACCTCCCCTGCGGCCCGGTCCTCCAGGGATAAGCTCGCGAGACCGATCATCGATCAGTCTCTCTTTGACCGTGACGAGGATGAACGAGCGAACATTAGTCATAGCAAGCCAGAAACCAAATACGCCGGTCCCAAAGCCGGGTCACCTGACAGTTCGGTCGCCCTGCAGTCTGCCCCGCCGACGGCGAGGCGGTCGTTCCAGGCGCCTGGTAGAGTTGAGACGCCTTCTATCCCTCCTGTGCCTTTAGCGCCTCCACCGCGCAGACCATTGATAAATCCTCTATATTCCCTGTCTCAGGTGGACCTCTCCGTAGGACCATCTCGAGAGGCTCAAGACAAGGCTCGTATCGTCCGGAAGTCTATGTCGTCTCCAGTCCTTAGTCATGTTCATGAACGTGATATAACTCCAGGACGGTTTGTCTTGACTCCGCCTCCTATTCCGCCACAAGGGACACGGTCTCAGCTCTCTCCCGTTGCAACGGAAGATCTCGATAATCCTAGTCCTTCTCCAGTCTCGATGCGTACTGTTGAGACAGTACTTGACGGGGCTCGCTATTCGGACGACAAGCCGGGTAGTACGCGATATGCGACCCCCGCGGATTCGGACGAGATGCTGCCTAGGCCATCCATCAGTGTATCTGTTAGCACAGAGGGTAGACCATCCTTTTCCGACTATTCACAGCCATCGCCATCGCCTACTGCGTCGGCTTTCCAAGACGCCTTGTTTGAGCATAGGTCGAGCACGAGTTCCATCCCCCGCATCAGCATATGTGATGAGGAGCAGGCTCAGACTTCGGTATACCATGACGTCCCTCGTCGTTCGTCCTCGTCAGCGTCTAGGCGGCCGTCACCCCTCAGGAATCAGGCAGTCTCCCACCGAGTCCCTTCGCCCCTTATATCTGGACATAGCGGGCAGTCGTCTGACGACACGTCCGGCGATGTATCCGACACAGTCTCTCCGATTCTTCTTCCGAAGGACAGCGAAGCCTCTGATTTCCAGTCTATGTCTGGTTCACCCATCTCCATAGAGCCGATACTTGCACCACCGCCAACAACACCGCCTTTGCCGGACTTCAACACATCTCCGGACGCGTCCTCGGGAGCAATATCTGGACGAGCCATCTCCGCCCCCCCTGGTCGCCTGGCATTGCATATACCATCAGAGTCAGATCACCAGACAGGCCCCGTCTCCGCTTCCCCAATAGCATTCTTCGATAGTATAGAAGAACAGTCCATCGCGTTGGATGCTCTTGAATCATCGGATGAAGAAGATAATCCTACCGACTTAATCAATGATACCCAGAGTGCGCAGATATATATGGATACCCGGACGAACGCTTCGACCAGCACGTTCTCACTTTCTTCTCACCAGACGTCCTTTGCCAGACACAGCAACTATTCTACCCCATTTCTTGTGCCTGCGCAGGCTTCCGTTCTCTCTCTCCCTGTGTCCGGAGGTCCTTCCTTTGACCTCGAACGAAACAGACCTGTTGGTAATGTTCCGCCCCGCGGAACGTTTTTCGCTGGCAAAAAGGGGAAGAAAGGGGTGGCGCCTATATCTCCCGCGGATTTCGCGCAGCTCGAGCGGAAGCAATCGGCTGGTTCCTTATCCACAGCCAGCTCTCATAAATCCGACTCTGAAATCCCCGGAAGACCGAGTGGAAGCGCTACAGACAACCGCACGAACCCCAGAGAGCGGGATGCGTCTCTGGATATGTTCGAGGGCATGCTTACGAAGCACCTTCAGACGGAGAGGGACGTCATGACTAGGATAGCGAACAATGTTTCCAGTCGCAAGGGACGCCATCGCGAATCATGATCGTGCGGACGCTCGGGCTTATTGAATTATTGTTTTATTTACTTCATCTCCATGCTTTGGTCACATCTGTCTTTGCATTAGTCTCTTGAATTGTGTTGTTCTGCTGCATGCGTTCAGTCTTCAATCCATTATCGAGGATTCCCAGAGTAACGATTAGATGAATATTGTGAGGCAAGGACCTACGGCTCAAATCGGAAATAAGTTCGGGGCTGATAATGAGGACATCTGGCCACGTACTGACAACTGTAGCGCATACGTAGTGACCTTGCGCCACCAGGCAGAAGACACCATACAAATTACAATTGCAATCATCAGTATGCGGGACAACACGTGGTATGGGCGCTTCAAGCAGTCAATTGAGAGTTTCGTCCAAGTTGAAGCTTTCGTTTACATGTAAACTTGGACAGGCTACGAGTCAGAATCGGCCAGGCCTTCGACGACGGTTAGACTCAAGACGTTAAATTCTTCCACTCGAAGTGTGCCTCCCGAGTCGCAGGCTTTGATTGTCGACGTGCCCTCTGACTCCCTAGCCCTAGACTTGTAAACGACGTCTCCTCAATAACCAGTAGACAGGCGAGCAATCCTTACTAGCGCCCTAGCTCCGCCACACCAGGATTCAGAGGACCTGTGCACTTTGCCATAGACTTGGAATGGACATAAATCCGAACGCATATTCGTGGCATCAGGTAAGCTCTGAACGCTCTAAGTACATGTACAGACTATGTCTTCTAAAGTCGTGGGCAGTCTCATGACCAGGTGAGCTTCAGTTGCGCATGCATTGAATAGTTCTGATACTAGCGTCTCCATGAATGCAGGCCACGGTCTTGATTGTGGTTCCCTACGAAATTACGGATGATGATATCCTGGTACAGAAACCTTTGCCCTTTGTTTACTCTGCTGATGAAGCGGGTAGTTCATCGTTGACGGACACCACCTTGCCGCAGGCGTGCACGGGCATGCGCCCATGGTAAAAGTATGGACCCTTTCGACAGGATCTGGTCGCTCGTTGTGCTCAATCTGCCGATAGGGTCACTTGTATGGCCAGATTGATACTACCTCTTCCACTTGGCAGTTGGAGCCTCGACCCTCAGCGTCCTCCAGAAGAGAGAGAACAATCTCAACCGTGTCGACAGCATCCACGCAGTCCTCTTATGCTGTCATCTCTGACCCAGAGTATTCTAGCAGTGCTGTGACAGGCGCTGAGAGTGCGCAGTCTTCAGATATCGAAGACGTCTCTGGCTTTTCTTCTTTATCTTCGCCTATGTACCCTTCCTCCGAGGACCACCGCGCGTTTTCATCTCCGCCAGGTCGCAGGACGCGTCTGGATAGTCCGGCGCCACGTTCGCCCCAATTACGACCATCAATGAGCGTGACGTCGTCTATGTCTTCGCTCGAATCATTGCATACTTCTCGATCCGGCCGACTGCTCACTTTGCATCTGGAAAAGGTGGAGTCTGCCTTATGGCCATGCTTGATTTCAGGGCCCGCTCCGGAGGGCTTTGCCCGTCATGCACTGGGCCCGCTTCCATTGGATCGAGATATAGAACTCAAGTACAATATGGACCCAACTAGCCTCATGCTTGTTGGATCTGAGCTCCTCGACCTGCGGGACAATAAAGAGGAGGCCTTCGAATACTTCCAGTACGTGTTGATACTACTCTAAGTCAGAGTACAGGTATCGATACGAGGCTCTAGGCGTGCTTGGGTCCTAGGGAGACTGCCCACCGCTGCTCTCAGACTCGTCACTCAGTATATTCCAGCACAACCTGGCATTCCAGCAGCCGACCTCGATGTATCGGATTCGCATGGGACTCTAGGTTATTACTCCAGGCGTCTGGGAGGCCCCACGGGCCTCTCTGAGGTGTACCTTGCAGCTGGATTCCTCCACCTGGAAGGAACTGCTTCCAGGCTACTCTCCTCGCCTTGGTCTCCCCTATCGTCTATCCGGTTATCCTCAGAGGGAATACTGTCACACCACGGTGCTTCCGATACCGAAGCGTGGCACCGCGACCGTGAAGCAGCGGAGGCTTATTTCGCCCTTGCCAAAGCTCTCGATCCAACACTCGATGTACCTTCAATATGGAGGGACACCGCAGAAAGCCCTTCACGAGCATGTCCTAACTCCGCTGTAGAACTGACTTCAATCGACATCGCATTGGCAGAAGCACCAGGAGGCACTTTGGATTCTGTGTCTGAGGGCTCTGCATTGCGGAGAAGGAGCAGGCGAGGAACGATCATGCCTGCAGCCGAGGCTGCGGCCCGCGCAAACGATGATAGTACGTGGTATTTGTATGTACCAGGTCTCGTGGGAGCTGGGACCGCACTGCTCCTCGTCGGCGTCATAGGTGCACTCAGCTTCTCCTGGAAGAAGAATCAGAGCTCTTAGCGTGCAACGGTTGCTGTACATACCTCCGCTTTGTGTGACATGGGATTGACTGCCGTGCGTCTCAGACGTGATGCACACCGGTCTAGGAGGCATTTGATCAGGTGCACTTGTAGAAAGCTAAGCAGCGAAGAATTTCGCGAAGAACCGCTTGGCCCATATCATCGCAAGCCCTTACATCTCACGTAGATACAGCTCATAATGTTCCTAGTATACTGTGTTCTGTTGCTTCGTCTCTTGCATCACTGTTACTTCATCCTACAGATGGGCAGGAGTGTATTTCCGCAGACCAGCATCGTTGGCCGCAGCTGTCGTTACAACTCGTCGTACACACTGCCTTATTACAACTCCCATTGAATGCAATGGTCACCGTCGGAGTTTTAGACTAGAGGACGACCATTCTTCGGCATGTCGCCCAAAGGCTACATCGACGGCTCGTCAATATATACGGTACTCGCAGAGTGAAGATACTCGCCATATCGTCGTACATTTGAGTGGTCTCCTGGAATATCTCAATTTGGGTGGATACAATTCCGGGGGCCGGGCGTCTACTCCTGGTCGGAGAAGTAGGATCCTGCGAGTGGCTTAGATACGCCGCCCTGCCTAGTCTTAAAGCATGATTGCGAGAATTGAGGCTATGCAGCGATTGAGATCACTTCAGTTGTAATTGACGCGAGCGGCGACGATCGATTACCTCGCGAGGAACGAGTTGGCGTAAACTGGACCATTCGGGGTGTCAAAAATGGTACGGAGATCCATTCGAGCAGCTTCCTTACGTTTGCTCTGTATTTCCACTAGTCCAAGGAAAATGAGCGTTGTAGGCAGCGAACCATACTGCTGTTGCATCGGCTTCCGTCGACAAAGAATAGATAAGTCGAGCCTCACCGTGATTAGGATGACGACAGAAAAAAGACTGCGAGGTGGTTGACTTAGTGCCTATTAATGACCACAGCAAGGACCTACGTCGTGATTGCACCGGTATTGATAGTATATGCCATGATGAAGTTGACGCGGCTATCAGAACTACGGAGATTGTTTGGTTACATTCTCCATCGTGAAGCTTCACAGATCATCTCACGGCTTGAATCCGGACCGACTTCTATCCAGCAGGTAAATGAGGGCCGCGGCCACGATTAGGTCCACCGCTGCAGCGCTAGAAAGCCCGCCAGCCAGGGTTACCTGACGCCCAGTTAAATCAGAAAGTGAATTTCTCGAAAAGAACTCGATTACTGACTAGAGGTAATCTCCGCTGGTGAAACTTCGTCCACTCGGCCACGGTGTAACTAGGAAATTGACAGGCCTAGTTAGCTAGAAACGCGATCATGTTAAGGTAGTCCCACCATTGCACAGTTGTTGCTTATCGTTTGTGGCATACGTCACTTGTGAGCACGTTAAGTTACTATTAGTACGTACCTGTTCCAAAAGCTAAGGGTGGGTGAGCGAGGAACGTAGAGGTCCACCACCATTGTACTCACCGAAACGAGCTACAGCCAGGGTTGTCTGAACCATGATTAGTCACCTGTTCAGCAGTGACTACTGATGGCCTCACCGTCGGCACCATCAGCCATACATTGTGTTCACTCACTGGCGAGTTGTCAGCAAAATTGAGCACGGCGCGCATATTAAGGCTTACATATCCATAGCCTCCGGATGTAATATGCATGTACTAATCCCGCGACGAGGACCTAGTGAGAGATTGAATGTTTTCAAGAGCTGATGATGCATGGCAAAACGTACACCTAATATGACGGTGATCTGTCACGAGATAGTAAGACCACACTGCATGAACATGGCAGAAGAACTACACTGACCCCACCGCTCCTGATCAAGCGGGTTAAAATAAAGCAATGTTAGTGTATGCGGCATCGTACCAATGAATTTGGTCAAGGAATGGCGCATCTCCAAAGTGCGTAATAGTGTAGGTGTAGATGAAGACGATGCAGAACGCCGTGTGAAGCGTTTCTAGGAGCCTAGACCATCGTTCGGACCAGCAAGGTGAACAATATCTGTAGACGTACCATACACCCGCCACCTAAAGCACATCAATATCTGGACTGCTGTGTAATTGTACAAAGGCTCACCATCCACTTGAGAAAGGGCCGGTCTTCTGGATAAGACTGGTAATATATGTAAGCCTGTGCGCAAGTTATTCCATAGAGACTGAAGCAGTCTTCAGAGGCTGCAGTGCCATTCAGGGAGCAATAGTTCTCACATGGCAGCAATAAATAAACAGATGAGGAGATTTCCAGCAATGTCTCTAACCACGGACATGACGGTGGGGAAGAGAATCGTCCAAGGAAGATTCGCGTGTCCCTTGGTTTATACATACGCCCATAGCCGCACTGTCCGGTATACAGTTCGGGGAAACGTGTCGACAATCAGCATCAGAGAATAGTGGAATCACCCTGATGAGTAGACTCGGGGGGAAGCAGCTCACCCCGACGCTTGAGCAGATGCCTACATAGATAAAGAAAATACATTCCCAAGGTCTTCTGGCTCTTTCATACTTTTCACCGCAGTGTACAGGGTGTGTGCGTGAACGGCCACGCGTGGGACACGTAGGCTGAAGCTTGTATCATCACCCAGACGGCATTAAAAATGGCCAGGAAAAGTTCAAAACCACTGAGCGCGTCCCACAACCAGCCTCTGAGAACAACGTCGTGAGACTCAACCTTAAGTATCATAGCCATTCGGGGCTTCGTCCTAAGGCGAAAGGCATGTCAGTCATACGATGGGAATCGGCATCATGCGATCATGATGAGTGGTTACACCGTATGTATGGTGCGGGACACCTAGTCACCACTACTTTGGTACAACAGTTATGGAGGGTCCAATTTTCCCTCATTTTCTTATCCATCTTGGGAAAACACTGCATTTGATGAAAGAATCAGCTTCTCAAGACAGATTGTCGAAATACTTAAAATTGAAGGAGCTATAATTTTGGCCCAAATCTATTTTGCCAAATTACCCGATATAGATAGACGCTTATTATGTAATCACTATGCAAGGTCGAGAAATCCTTGGCTACCTACTTGTGTATAACACTGTGAGTCCTTATATAGCTACTGAGTACCATTAAATAGCTCTGCCCACTGCGAAGTCCTCGTTTTCGTGACCTCAGAATTAAAAATTTTCTCCAGCACCGATTTTGCCACTGTCCAAAAGTAGCGGTGACTAGGTGTCCCGCACCATAGTAAGTAGTCCTTGAGTCTCGAGATACTCGGCTAATGCTGGTTGCCCATCTGCGCGGGATTCTCCTGATGAACTTCTCCGGAAAGCGATTCAGAGAAATGGGAAGGCCGCAACTCCACTCACCAAGCGGCACTTTCAAGTTTCGAAGTTTCGGAGGAGCGCGGCTGATCCGTCCAGGAAATGCGTGCGGAAGTTTATGTGTTCAGACCCGTACCATCGAACGTGGATCATTTGTCTGCCCAGTGCCCACTGCGATTTGACCTGTGCAGGCCACTTATCATGATTGCGGTTATGTGCGACTGGTCGCGAAGAGAAGCCCTCCGCAACCATGAGCATACTTATGATTGTGATTAAATTACATCGAGCGAAGTTGCTTAGCCTCGATAGTTAGGAGCGCGACAGCAGAATTGACTCTTCCCAAAGACTCCTGACAGAACTGCTAGTGAAAGAACACTGAGCGGAGGCGTGGGAAGTCGACTCAATGAAACGCGAACAGTCACAAGTCACAGTGTTTGTGACCCCGACGCGGTCGTCTTCTGCGTACAACGCCGCACATTGTGGCCCTTGGTGCACGAAGCGAACCATCCGCTGCCGTATACCTACAACATGTCCAGCCCGTACTGGTACCCCTCTATGCCAATACACGAGATTATGGAGGCTCTGGATGGATGGTCCTTCTCCGTTAGCCAAGAACAACTCATCAGACCGTCTTCCGAGTTCGTAATGAGCGTCTACACAGCTTGCCTCCAGCAAGTCACCGGTATTACCCAAGAGTCATTGAAGCCGTCTGTCAACGCCGCTATTGCAACGCTGGACAGTGCGAATGCGGTGCGTCACTAGCAAATAAGCCACTTGCCCCACCTAACGAGAGTCTAGGATCTCTACAGCCAAAGCCTCACGCAGAACTTCCTATTACACCATATGTGAGGTTCAGCTGCTCTTGACTCTTGCTACCGAAATCTCAATAAATGTTAGAACTCGATTTGCGACAGCTGCACGATTCCCTGATTTCTGTGCGAAAGACATCCACTTCCCTGAGCCGGAACGGACTCGCCTGATCCTCTCCGCTTTCATTAACCTGGTCAAGTTCCACGAACAATGTGCGCCCACCATTGCACAAGTGCGGCAGAACGACGCGGCGTTAGAGGCGGAGCGGGAGAGGGCAGCCGGCGATCTGGCTGAGATGGAGGCTAAGCTTGCTGCTATCAAGTAAGTGCATAATCATATTCGGGGACAGCATCGTATGAACGAACCGCACAAGGGCGAAGAGGGCGGAAGACGAACCTCGGTGTGAGGAGTTGCGTCAGGAGCAGATCGCTATTGCAGCGAAGCTGGTGGCATATAAGGACGTTCACACAGATCTCGTGAAGCAAATTGATAAACTGAAGGCCGAGAAAGCGGCAGTGCTTCAACGGAAGGTGAGCAGTGTGTCTGTATGTATTAGGATTAGAATACTTGACCATCTGCAGGACAACTTGAATAAAGAGATCTCCGTTGTCGTCGAGTCTATTTCACACAAGCGTTCACGGATCGTTCAATCTCCTGAGCGGATTAAAAGAAACGTCGCTTCAATGAGAGCTACGGCTGCCGAGGACAAGCAGACGTTGGCCGCGAACGAGGCCAAGATACGAGATCTCAAGATCAAGATCAACGTCATCATGAATATTGACAAGGTGCGTTCCTTATGATTCAGTTAGCACACCTCTAAACGAGAACCCAATGAACAGGAGATACGATCCTGCGTCGAACAACTACAAACTGTGGCGAAGGAAGTCAATATTCTGGAGAGTTCCCAACAGGAGCTCGCGGAACTCAAGGAGCAGCTGACGAAGAAAAAGATTGAGAAGAGTGATCTAGAGCGTAGACATGAGGTTGAAGCCATCTCCCTGGTCATTTGGCCGCCTTCTGACTGTAGTCGTATTTCCACAGCGCGTCCGACAGCAGCTTCTGAACGCAGAAGAGAAGCTAGAACGGGCTCAGAAGCATGCCGCCGAGAAGCGGCTTGCTAGTCAACAAACTATTGAGAGACTGCAGCGGGACTACGAACAGATGGCTGCCGAGCGTAGAGATAACGATAAGCAGATGGAGGAGCTAAGAGCGGAAGCGAACCTGCTGGAGGAGAAGGTGCGCCAAGTGTGGGTAGCTTGGCTAGGACTGTGCTTACTCTTGACCGTTTTGCATCGATCTAGAAAGCAAGACATCTCAAGCAGAGTGAAGCAGAGCTGGGGGAATTGCTTCACGAATACTGGACCCTGCGGCACGAGACAGGTCCGTATCCTTTATCTTCTCCTAACAACAGGTTCCACTAACATCACTCACAGAGGTATACATGGAGACGCTTGCGAACAAGCTAGGAATGCATGTTACAGAAACGAACGATTAACATTCCACTTGACAGAAGCAATGTTGTATGTTTGAGCCTTCCTCTTTTGTCTCTCGTCTCGTCTAGACCAGGTTATTCCGTATTTATGGATCTGTGGGGTGACATTATTGTTGTAATACTATGCTCGTTGTATTCATAGCCAGTCTAATTTTACGCTGCGATGTACCGGATAATTATTGATCCGCAAAGGGTTTCCTGTAATGGTCCTCCACATGCCTTATAAGGCAGTTACAGAGGGTTGTAATTGATCCTTCACCATCCTTTGCCTGCTCACGATGTTTTCGCCTGGTATCCTCACTGTATTCCCTATAATGGCTATATACCCGCGTCCGTTCTGTCTTGAAGACTGCTGCGGCGTTCGGATCCCGTCCGAAGAATGAAAAGAGGGTAAATCGCGGATGCCGGGGTAGACGTTCTTCGTGATCGCTTGCGATGCTTCCATTTGTCACGTGATGAAGCCGACCAGTAGTGTGGAGGCGCCAACTCGTTTCAGCGGCCTCGGAGGACGTCCTTCTCGACAACTGTCCTATAATTATATTCACCGCTAATCAGTCAAAACGCCATGCTACCTTACGCGCATACACCCACATCCACTAATACCCCATCCCCCGACGGGTCCCACTTTCATTTAACGAGACCTATGCCACTGGAACGCTTCGACACCAGCTTTTCGAATTACTCTTGCACCTCAACTTCACAGCTTGTGCTTGATTCTGGTCGTTCGGATGGCACGGAAAGGCAACAGCAGAGTCGTGCTTTTGATTTCTGGTGCTGGCCTTCTCGTTCTAAGCGGAAGCAGTCGCCAGACGCACAGTCTGACCTAGAAAAGAAGACACCCGAAGCTGACAAGTCTGGGTCACCTGGCAGATGCGCCAAACATCCATGGGATGGTTGGAGAGTCATTGTCTTGGACTCTTGTGAGTACCGCAATCTCTAATCGTGCGTGCTCAACCATTCACGGCCGATGCAGGGCTCAATGTGCTGCTCGTTCTCATTCCTGTCTCGGTGGGTAGAGGTTCGCTTTGCGGGCCACCCTAGCTGACATATCCCATCCAGTGGATTCTAGAATTTACACTAGTCGGATCAAGTGCCTTAATATTCATTTGTAAGAATATCGAGGATCATCTTGTATCTAATTCATGCTAATTCATGTTGCGCAGTCTGTGTCCTATCAATGATCCCTCTTGTCAAAGTAAGTACTGCTATCCTGACCACCATTCTGCCAATTGCTGCTAGGATAACGCCATGTCGTCGCCGTCTTCGCTTTCTTCGCGGTTTTCATCTTCCATTTATTCTGATCTATGGAACGTCTGAACGATATCGTGCGGTTGTTTTCAGTTACATGACCTCGCGACCCGCGAACTTGCTATAAGAATCGGCGGCTCACGCACTGGCCTGTTAAACGCAAGCATGGTAAGCTGGACCTTGGGTGTACTCTGCGAAATAGCTGAGCTAGATAATCTATCTCTATAGAGTAACATGTGAGCTTTTCATTGATGTCCTGGCTGCGCAGGGGAAGCGCTGATATGGTATTACCGTGCCGTCAGTGTGGAACTAGTATTTGCGGTACGAATACTTGACTATCTTCGTGATGGAAGAGGTGTTTGACATACTCACTTCAGATAAGTGCACTGCGTAAGTGCGAGTTGCGTGTCGTGCAGTCGTCCTGTAGGCTTTTCGTCCTCCGCGTGATAAATTTATGGTTTGATAATTTCTTCGGGCAGTGGTGGGATCGATTTTGAGCAAGCTTCGTATGTCCATTTAGTTCGTCTCAGCCTCACTACTTACTGGGGCATCCCCCAAGTCCTTGTCCTGGGAATGTGCTTCTTCGCTGGTGGCCTGCGGTTCACCGAGCAAGGGTTCGATCCAAGTAAGTCCGTTGAGAATGTCGCGATCACTCAATAACCATTCTGGTCATCCAGCCGCCACGCATGTACAGTCGTCGCTGTTGATCATCAGTGTCAGCGCTGTGCTTCTGCCGTGCGCGTACCATTTCACTATCGGACGAGCGAGCGAGAAGATATTTGATGAGCAGAAGGTGGATCTCTTGCGGATGAGCCATGGTGTATGCCAATCATATTAATGAAGACTATTCCACTGCTGATGTAGTCTTTTGATCCAAGGTTTCTATCATCCTTCTGTTGAGTGAGTGTGTTTACTCTGTAATTTCGATTTCCCGTTCAATATCACGTTCCGCAGCCTACGCGTCATACCTTCTATTCCAACTATACTCCCATACGCATCTTTACCAAGACCGCCTCAAGAAAAGCATGCCGCACTCGCGGGTCGTCGACTTGCCCAAGTCGTCACCCAGCACGGTAACGCTTAAGGATATCAATGAGCCCCAAGTCCTTCGAAAGGATACAGACACCATGTATTGTTGCAGTGTCCGGTCCAGGAGATCTTTCTCGCTCTCAAACACTGGTTCGACGAGCGACGTGGACCTCACCGGGGAGGATAGTGCGACCGTCGTTGGGAGGGATTCGGACACCATTGCGTCAAGGGGCGCTGTGCGGGCGCCGGACGTGGATCCCACTGTCAGGCTTGTCCAGTCGTACTATGCTGACGACAGACAGACAATCGTAGTGGTTGGTTTTGATCATCATTGATCAGTCTCAGTCGGACGCTAATTGCGATCGCCTTGCTTCAGCTCGATGAAAAGGCCGACGAGAAACGTATTGAACACTCGGACTCCCGCCAAAGTGGGGTCCGAGGAACAAACCCTACCACGGCTGATGAGGACCGACCGACGGACGTGGAGCATTCCGAGCGTACTGACAAGCACCCTCAATTAAGCTGGCTCATGACTCTGGCCCTCCTAACGGCTGTAACAGTTGTGCGTACTTGGGCCAACATACATGTATAACTCTTAACTGTTGCCTTGTAGATGGTTTCGGTCAACGCTGATCAGCTGGTGGAGTCGATGGACGGTATCTCTACCCATATCAGCAAGACTTGGATCGCGCTCATTCTCTTGCCTGCGGTGGGATCGATAGCGGGTATGTACTTACCGCCTGGCGTAGCACGGATACTGAGCGTAAATGTGCCGCGTCCTTTCGTAGAATGTGTCACTGCCATCAACACATCAGTGAAAGATGAGCTGACGTTGAGTATCAGTGTTGCAGTCGGATCAACCGTTGTAAGTACAAAACCTTCATACACTGAAATAGCCAGCCTGGCTGATTGTTCCGGAAAATAGCAAACAGCACTATTCGTCATCCCGTGAGTTATAATTATTCCGTCGACCCCAAAGGCTAGGTTTAACATACAGTGCAGCTTCATTGTCCTCCTGGGGTGGGTGCTCAACAAGCCCTTGGCGTTACTCTTCGACCCCTTCGAGTCCGTGGTAAGTATCAGCCGGTACTTTGCCTTGGGATCGCGCTCTCACACGTTACATCTTACCCAGGTTCTGTACATTTCAGGTATGTCATCCACCGTCGACTACTCATTTCGGCACCTGATGATTACCCCATAGTCCATACCATGAGCTCTGTTGTACAGGACGGCAAGTCAAACTGGTTGGAAGGCGTCATTCTGATGTGTACGTGTTGATTTTCTCCGCTTGAATCCGTCGGAGGCTACATTCATACTCAGGTTTATATTTCATCATCGCCGTCTCGTTCTGGTTCTACCCAGGTGGGAAGTATATTCCAGGAATACGAGTACATCCTAACGTACGAATGTCCTTCCTAGGCTCCGACGTCTCCGAGACTCTGGCCATCTGTACATAGAGCCTCTCCTTGGATATCTGTTACATTAACGCACAATAGAGTTAGAATCCGGACCACTCTCGTCGACTGCAAGCAACCTTCACTTCATGGACTTCGCGCATATACCTTGCATTATTGTAAGAATACCCCTCATTTTCTTCTCATATAGATTTGTTCCGGCGCACACTACCACCAGCTACATAATCTGTACAATCCTTTGTGGTTCTTTCATAATAACCTACTGCTAGTTTCGCGTGTCGTAGCGTTTAACCTTCATACTATCCTATCCGTATCGCTACCCTACTATGGATGAAAACGACTGCAGTTGTAATATTTATGACACCCTTCTGTTGCCTGGTTCGGTTCCGCAAATACCCTGCGCTGGCAACTCTGCGACAATTCGAACCAATGTTATAAATCTGGATTTCCACGGAGAGATGTGTATACTATGCTAGGTTCTTGCGTATGCATGCCTATAGGTAGTACCGATCCCCTGGAACGAAGGAATGAGCCACAAATCTGCCAAACCCGCACGACCTACCTATTTGACCCATGCCAGGTTCGATGACCCAAACCTTCCTGCGACGAACCAAAGTGTCGCTCTCATTGGCGGGCTCTTCAATCCAAAGTTCACGCAAGTTCGCATCGACAGCGCCGGTCACTATCCGAACCTCCGGGAATGCTCGTCGTAAGGTGGATATCCCACCGTCGCGCGCGACTAGGAAGGTAATGAATACGATGTGGTCTTGACGAACGCCGTGATCCAGAAGGACACGGATAGCCATAAAGGCTGATGCTGCTGTACCGATCTAAAGGGGTACCGGTGGTCAGGCGGTAGAATCTGGGGCTGCGAATATTTCTCACTTGAGCATCTAGCAGAAATGCCCAAGTGTCTTTTGCTTGCGCCCTATCTCTGATGCATACCGGGAGCATAACGTGCAGCAGCAACGGCTCTGCAGTCGCGGAGTCCGTTTGCACGAGCAGAGATCCAAGAAGGGCATCGTTGATGACGCGCTGAAGACCGCGTTCAAGCGGGCCGCCTCTATACACATCAGACTACTGACAGTAAACCAGGAAAATGACTCACGACCGTAGAATGGTAACACCACAGACGTTCTGAGACGGGAGTCGAGTCAGTATGAGTTTGACGGGACGATAGCATACCATCCTTACACCAGCATCAAGCTCTTTACCAGGCGTCTCTACTCCACACGGCGTCTCCACCGACTTGGGCCGGAAAGGCAGTAGCTCGACGGCGGCTTCAATCAGCAATGTTGCTAACCTATCTACGAAGAAAATGAAGTCCTGCTTCGACGTCGTCTCATCCCGCAGAATAGTGTATATCCCCTGTCGTGAGCCGTTAAATTCCGATCATTCTCTGGAGAAAACAATCTCTTACTTGAAGCTGGGGTGTCTGCGGCAATAGAATCAGATTTGGATGCCGGTCCGACACATTACTCATGACTGTCGAGGGCGGGGATAGGCCGGTGGGCCGCCTAGACACCATCTTCGGCCGGAAACGTCTCGCACGCTCGTGCAACTGCCTCCGTATGTGCGTCGAGATCAACTCAATAGCGACATGGTTGTCAGAGCCGGGTACAATCTGTCCGGAGCGGTATCATCTATCGAAGTATGCGCTCGCATCAGACGAAGGGGGACATACAATGTCAGCATAGCGAGACGTGGGGAAGACGAAATTATCATATGCGGGCTTCACGTAACGGAGATACCTACAGGCTGGGTAAGACCACGCCTGTGCAGCGGGAAACAGGAAGATGAACTCACTGGTCCAGAATGCCATCGACACTCCTGCCGCGCTCTTTGACATCACGTCGGATCCGACGAGCGAGCATGAGATCAGAATCGCATTGAACAAATATCTACCTTGCAGCGGCAATTAACATCCGTTGCGTTTCTGTTTGCACGGCGGAGTATCACGCACCTTGAGATCGTAAAGGGCTCGCAGTGCCGGGTCCTGCAGGGCCATGATCCCCTCGGCTATTACAAGAACGAGTCAATGTCCGAAGCGTCAGTCGACGCGAAATGCTGTTCCACCAATTACAATAGCAGCGCCGTACAAATATTGTGTCTCATCCAATCGTTGATGTTCCGTGAATGAATAGACGGGCACATTTGTCTGTCGACACTTCTTAAGGTCCATAAGGCACTACGGCCACACGAGTTACTTCAACGTAGGTCTTCCATGTTGAATCACCCTGTCTGCAGCAGACGTACCTGTGCAAACATGGGCATGTCTAGAGCGCTCGGATGATCAAAGTCGTATTTGTTATCCATAGCAAGGGCGACCTCTTCGGGAGTGTGCCGTTTGTAGAAGCTATCCTACCCGATGCCGTCGGTCGTAGACGGGGAGATATTAAGACATATGCCCATACCTGAGACAAGATCACTACAGTGGGTATCGATCCGAGTGACTGGACGATCTGGCGCGCTACGTGGGTCTACTCGAGCATCAAAGCTTAGACGTGCCCCGATAACAGAAAGCATGGGCGGACCTTTCCGCTCGCAGACCCGCCTGTTATAAATTCTTAGGACTACCACGCAATATTCCGGGCTCTGCAGCGACATACCAGCTATTCCAATGAGAAACGCGTCCGATATTGGCTGACCGTCTTCACCGTACCTACATGACACGCATTACGGTTTGAAGCCTTCGCGGTCAGTGCGGCAACTCACCATGGTGGTCGACCATGAGACTTCAGCACCGTATTCTTCAAGGCCTGTATAGTCGTACTAGTCGGTAGGCTCCCAAAGTTTCCTCCGTCCAGCGGCGCATCAGGGTATTCGTCCCCGGAATCGTCGTTCATGGCACAGGAATGCAAGAAAACCGAGTATGACAGTGACACGAGGGACGGTCAGTGCTACCAACCACGTGACTACGCGTCGGGGCGCCCTTGCCTGATTTGGGTCCACCAGATTCAAATTGGCTCTAAACGCCCACTTGAAGCTTGAGCTTGACGAGCGCGGACCTCTGCTTTTTTGCCCTACTGCTGCTGGTACCATTCGCCGGCAAGGCAGAAAGTGCGTTCCTTACGGCTTACTGTCCACCATGCAATTTTCTGGAATCTCCGAGCTCATGGCCGTGTATACTCCGACAAGGTGACGACTTCGCATTCATCAGTACGTTGACGGTGCAATTCGCTCTTCTTAGTAAGTTCTTACCCAGATCATCATTCGCTTCAGCGTCCGACGCGTCGGTGGATCGCTATCACTCCCCACGACGATCCGTGTTCGGAATGGACTGTTGCTTACCGTCAGAAACTCGTCGCCAGTTGTGTGGGTGTAAAATGCTGAAGTCGTTAAACTATGCCTTCGCGCAATGGCTTGGCACTTCCCGGTGACAACACTCGGAGTCTTCCCTCGGCATATGTTCCAACAGATAAGTACCCGAAGCTGTGAGTAGTTACGTTGGTACCGACGGACACCGTGTGCTCTCGATTCTGACTTGGACTGCTCTTCGAAATCTCCTCGCTCGGTCGGGTCACTGCGTCCTATCACCGGCATTGCCAAGCCTCATGGAGTTAGCTATAGGTCCTTCTCCCTATCTTTGAAGGCATTTCTGCCAGCTTCGCCTGGGGAACGAGCATTAGAAACTTTAGCAACACGGGTTAGGTGATCTGGAATCACACGGAGCTGCGATAGCACGCACCTCTCATCCGCCGTCAACCCTGTACAGTGCAGACCCATGGAGCTGCAGACTTCCGGGGAGCACGGACATATATACTTCTAAGGTCCGTCCATCTTCCTTTTCGGCGGACTCGAGGGAACGTACTGCGCCATTAGCGCGTACGACGAATTTGAATTCTTACCGTTGCTGCGGATCTTGGAGTGGCTCCGGGGCTTCCTTCAAGAGGTTTTCGCTCTCGGCGGCTGATATCCGTTTAGAACTGCTGTATATATGGTGTGGTAGGTATACAACGGTGAGTTCTAGGACACTTTTAGGACACTTCGGTACCGACCGTTCAAGTGGGTATTCACTGGGCCTAAGGTTTGCGATCGGAAATTAGCTGTCCTGACTCCTCGGAGCATTCTCGCGCCAGGTCAGGGTTGTTATGACCGGGGGAAAACGAAGAGTCCTCAGATTTACCGACCAAGTTACCATAGTCGTCGATGCTTACCTCGCCTTGCCAGTTCGCTATCTTGTGAGTTCTGAGCTGTATATTTGTATTAGAACTTCACATGTGTCCACAAGCTTCTTGTTGTTCGTCTTAGTTTCTGTCATCGTTTGACGGTAAACTTCGCACGCAAAGTTTACCGCTGCACCGTCTTCCTCCGGCCTTGGTCGAACTCTTATTCTCGCCAGAGTCGCAGCGGATCATGCGCGATCTGCCTCGGGTTGCGAACTGGTCGGCCTATCTGGAGCAGCTGACGCACCTGATTTGCTGAGTCGAGACTCCTAATACGCATTGATCAGCAAGCAATGCCTGAACTGCCGCTATGTTTCGGCCGAAAGTGCATTACTGATTCATGAACTCAGCTTCGGCTGCGCAATGCCCATCGGGTATGGGTTTCCCAAGGTCTGCCACTACACAGTTCCTCGGTCGGTCCAAAACACTGATAAACCAGACGATTGGTCCTCGCGTCTTCAAATGAAGGCATGTGCACGTTTGCAGTACTGTTGGACTAAACCGCCATAAGAGCTTGCAATCAGCGCCCCTAGTAAGTCTCGATAAACGAGGGAATACCTTACAGTGTCTTTTCCAACACCCGGCTTCTCTCCTGCTGTTCGCTCCTTGCTAATGTGCGCTGCGTGCTAACCATGCTGTGTTTTTGACAGATCGTCGAATGTATGCTTTATAATGGGTTAGAAATATAATTGCACTTGAATGAATGAGCACGAGCAAGTGCCTTTGGCCTTATTAATTAATCATTCTTGGGACCATTGTCGGCCTGCCACATCCCGCCCGTTTGGTAGGGAGCAACATGGCGGTCACCGCCACCGTATTGGCCGGCGGGAACGGCAGATCTCATCGCCGCTGTCTACGTCATGCGGAAATGCAAACACGCTCATTGGCCGCCGTCGTCGATCACGACGTCAGTGCAGTCGTCTTGTTGGTTGGGCCGCCGTCATTTCGATTGCTTTACCAAGCCAAGGGTCCTTTATAAACTTAGTTATAGGACGCTTGAAGGACCGCTATCAATGCTCACTCGTCTTCTGCTCCAGTCATCTCGGTCTCTGCGCTACCCTTCGTATCAAACATTCCCTAGAGCTTTCACGGCGGCGAGCGTACAGTTCAGAGGTATGGCGGGAAAGACTTTGACTGAGGCCATCAAGGACGACCACCAGGAGGTACGTTGAAATGATGCACGCAGAAAGCCAGCGAGGCAGGAGCCACGACGCTATCTTCAGATGTATGAGTATCACGATGCCTACAAGGCAGCGGCAGGAGACCCAGACGCTCAGGCACGATGGGCCCGCCAATTAACTTGGGAGGTCGCACGGCACGCCGTCGGTGAGGAGATCGTCGTCTACCCGTTGATGGAAAAACACCTCGGTGAGAAGGGACGTCAACTGGCCGATCACGACCGCGCGGAACATCAGGTAGGTTAACTCGCTATCGGGTTTCATGATTCAATTGTAACGAGGCGTCCAATCGCAGAAAGTAAAGGAATATCTATACGACCTCGAGTCGCTTACAGCCGGAACGGCTGATTATGACAAGGTCATCACCCAGGTTATGGACCACCTCCACCCGCACAATGATGATGAGGAACTCACGGATTTGCCCCTGCTGGAGCCTTGTCTTGGTGAAGAAGGGAGCAAAGCTGCAGCAGCAGACTTTAAGAGAACCAAGAAGTTTGTTCCGACGAGGTGAGTATCCAGAATACATGGTTAGCTCCGGTTGCTGAGTATTGTCTTCTCAGGGCTCATCCTTCTGCACCCAATCAGCCGCCTTCCGAGACGCTCGTCGCATTCCTCACGGCTCCCATTGACAAATTGAAAGACGAGTTTGCAAAGTTCCCCACGGAGGAAATGAAGGAGGAGCTCAAGCAATCACGCCAGTAATACGCGAGGACACCAAGAGAATGTATTCTATCCTGTACGAGTAAGGAAACGTGTTCTAGACTTCTATGCCGGTGCTACCGTGTCTAGTACTATCTCTAATTGGACCTATACGTTTTTGCTACAAGTGCTGAGCGTGCCAACGTCTCTCGACCAATACGAGATACTCGAGAAACGAATCATCTTGAAGTACGCTACTTTTTCATTTCCTCGCCCGCAGGACTATATCGGTTTCCTTCTGCGTATTCGCCACCAGCCACAGTGCTGGCACCGCTGCTAGCACACGCCTGACCTTCACCGGTTTTCTCCGCCTCGATGTTACCGGCCTGACCGTGTGCGCTATTCCCCTCCTCTAGGACCTTCTCACTTACTCCACTACCCGACTTCCGCATCTTTTTCTGCCTCAGGAGTTCCTCGGCTGCTTTCTTCAATTCATCGTCATCCGCCCTCTTCAACTCGTGCTGCTGTATGAGGAAGACGGCAGCGAGCGTTGCGATGATCGTATACGCGACCGTAAGATAGAACACCCGCGTGAACCCCTTCGAATATCCCGCAACTATAGCGCTTCGGTCAGCGTCACTTAGCTGTATCGTGGATGTGGAGTATGAATTGGCATTGATGATCGTGGGATCGTTGAGAATAGCGGAAAGTTGGTCACTCGACAGGTTGAGAGGCTGCAGGGCGGTCCGGAGAGTATTGTTGATGATGGTGGCACAGATAGCGAGCGTGATGGTGGAGCCGAAGAGACGGACGAACATGCGGACACCCGTGACAACTGCCATGTCGTGTCTGGGCACTGCTGCCTGACAAGCAATCAAAGACCTACAATGCAAACACCCAGTGCGTCAGACAAAAGTAGTGTTGGCAGTAAGTCGTGTGCCTACGTCTGGAAGGTGAAGCCTGAAGCCAATCCACAGATCAGTAATGCTCCGATAATGAGGCCTTTGGAGGTGTGCTCGTTGACCATGGTCAGCAAACCTTGACCCACAGTCCAGAGAGCGTAGCCCAGGATGACCATGGGCCGGTATATCCCTGTCCGAGCCGTTATCTGGCCTGGGTAAAAGCGTCAGAAACGCGAAAGTGACACGGTTAGACATTATCCGACCTCCTAAAGATACAACAAAAGCTGTGACAGTCTTCAGCCACGATTGACGTCGAGTGCGTTCAATCCACGTACCAATTGGGCACAAGAAAGGTAGCAAGAGTAAACTTGATTGCATCGGCTTCTCGCCTTGCACCAACTGCAAGAATTGAGGAACATAATACAAAACCTACATGGGGGCTAGATCAGAGGAAGACTAATTCGCGGTACCGGCAACACTCACGGCAAAGAAAGTCATTCCGCTGCAAAGATATAGCGGAGTGTCGTCAATGCAACTCGCAACCGGAACCGGGACAGAAAATCCTCACTTCAATAGAGTCGAGATGTACACCCCGTTGACCGTTCTATATTTGAAGATATGGACTGCCGGAGGAACACGGGTTAGACAGCGACCAATGAAGATCTGTCGAGGACTAACCGGGCACAATAGGCAGAGCCGCATATCGTGCTTCCCAGACCACGAATCCAGCCAACACTATTACGCCCAGAATCAGAGGAACAAGCACTTGTGCTGACAACCACGGGTAGGTGACACCACCCCTGCCGGATTCTATTCAGACAACGTCACGAAGAGTACCCGGACAGTACCCACCACGTTAAGGCGATCTAGAAGTAACTTCAGCACAGGCTTTTCCATGCGGTGGAGCGAACGTACAAGCAATAGAATAGAGCTCAGGATGGTCAGTCCAGAGCCAACATAATCGATTTTCATGAGTTTGGACTTCATATCTCCTTGCACCTTCTTGAGAGGTAATAACCATAGACATACTACAATGGCCGCGCCGCCAAGGGGAAGATTGAGCCAAAATGCCCATCGCCTATGATAGCAGTATGCGCAAGGCATTGGTTATCACCGGGACCGAGCAACTTGGAATTAGAGGAAATAAAGAAGCTTGCCATGTAGTGTATTGCGAAAACACGCCCCCGAGAATCGGACCTACACCGTTTGAAACGGCGGCAATAGCTTCATTTATGCCCTGATACTTTCCCCTGTCTTTCAAGGAGACAATGTCCGAGACACTATAAAAATAGAGTGAGAGCTAATTCGGGTCTACGAAGAGACAAAAATATCTTACATGATCAGGACTACTGTGATTATTGCTGATAACCAATGAACTGTGAGACGGACGGAGACTGCAACATGATTTTCAAAATGACTTTACCTCCGCCGCCTATCCCCTGGAACGCTCTGAACACAATGAGCTAATAAGATCCGTGGATTAGCCTTCAATCATGGGGCTTTTTCAGGGTCCATACCTGGATCATGGTCTGCGCCAAAGCGCATGCAAGAGAGAATATAAAGAAGACTGCCAGGGCGGCGAGTAGCACAACCTTGCGCCCGAAGATGTCTGACCATCTCCCATACAGAGGAGTAAACGCGAGGCTAGCAGACAATTTAGCTAGACATGACAGGGACAAAGAGTTACATAGTTACATGCCTGGTAAGTAGATACGCTGTAGGAACCCACGAGCTCTCGGATCCCGAATGAAGGTCAGAAGCTATGCGAGGGAGAGCGGTAGCCACACTGTATGACAGTTGAGAACCGATGGGATGTAGATCATGGCATAGCACTCACATTGTTTGTTCTAAGAAGGAGCACGCCAGCGCCACTGACAGACCGAGATAGACGGTTATGACCTGTCTTGTTGGTAGGAAATTGGTCTGGTCAGTTAGCTCAGCCGGGGGTTTCGCGCCTTTCATTTGGTATGTCGGTATCGGGGACGGCGAATGATGTCTGCTATGGGACGAAATCGTTTCTGAAGTCGTCACTACTATGGTCCTGTCGTCTTCTACGTCGTGCTCTTCTTGTCGGGCATTCTGTAATGCAGAACTAGCTGCAGAGGATTTTGCACTACCAGCGTGAAACGCGACCATCATGATGAATACCTCTTAATTGGGAGGACGGAAGGAGAGCAGGGAAAGGAAGCGGGTCCGCGAACATCTTTATTTCTCCTACGTCTGCTATTAGTAGTGGGGAAACTGTGGAGAAACAGACCAGAGTCGCGCAGACTTCTGGAAATCATTACGGGGTGCCGCTCGCCACGTGATGGCCGGCAAGCCAGGGAACGGACAGAGTACATTTCTCACTCAATTGGAGTTCCCAAGATGCAAATTCTACGAGGTTCTTCTGGACAAAAGTCAGCAGTAAGGCTTTGCGCTGAGCCTACGAAGTGATCATCGATGCCTCGACTCCGAAAACCGGCGCATAGCTGGGGTCATTCCGACGTAAACCAAACCACCCGCTTGCAGCAGGCGCAGAATCAGAGACCTAATTTGTAGCGCGGCTCCTATCGGGGTCAGCGAGTAATTTCAGAATGCCGGACTGTCGGCGTACCTCGTGTTCCATATACTCATTATCTCCTTTATCCTTAGGTCACAAGTACGGGAAAGAGAAAATCGGACAGTCCAGACTCCAGTTTACGGTCCGGAGTCTGTCGGCCGTCGCAGTTCACTAACCTGCCGGCGGTGCCGACTTCATTGCTGATTGGCTAATGATACCGTTTGGCAGAGATATATGTAGCGGGTGGTACTACACAGGTTCATTCATACTAGATAATTAGGTTACTTACAACATCACCTGGAGCGTCGTGGACCATCTGCTGACGTCTTGTCTGACGCATGCAGGGCCGTCGGGGCCTCGCGCGCGACCTGTGTCGCCAGACCTCAATCGCAACAGAACGTGTCAGTGAGGAAGTACGTGCGGCGAGGTGAATGGTCCTTCCGCAGTGAGTTCCATAAAATCGACTCCATCAGCTAAATCGTTCGCTTCTCCTTTTTGAAACGAGAATCTATAGCTACTGTTGCAATCTGCTATTGCTTCGGAAGTATGTAAATCGCAGACGGGTGCAGATGCCAGTTAGGCCCGATCGTTGATAAAGGACCAGCGCGTCAGGAAAATACGTCAGTGGGTGCACGGGTGAAGTTGAATGAAGCGACAGCTTACAGCAAAACGATGGACGCGCCTCAGATTTCTACTGCTGGGGCGCCTGCCAATCAAAACCGCCAAATACAGTAGGAGTAATTGTCAGCTTCCTGAGCAGACATTTCACCACTTACGGTCGTTTTGCGGTTGTTTCGTTGTGGAGCACCCTGTAGAGCAGGAATCCTCGGTGCGTTCTGCAGTCAGCTGTAACTGATCGGTCCTTCAAGCTAAGTCCCGACAGCCACTATTTTTCTAAAACAAATTCAGATATGATTGGACATCCGTTTGTGGGTTGCCCTCACACTGAGGCTATTACAGTGAGCATTATATACCCCAGGCGCGGCAGTTTACGAGTCCTGAGTTTACGAAGGAAGAGTCCTTACCGGCAAAAGTGAGCGCGTGCCGAACGTTGTACCCGTGGGAATTTCCGTGCCGACTATGCGTGAGACTTTACTTTCTGTAGTGTTCACTACATATTTGATTCTCCGATTGAAACCCCGCTTGTATTGGAGACTACAACCTGACTACAAACACCATTTTGTAGTGTCATTTGACACTTTTTCGATATTTTCTCTTTGAGATTTTTACCGTTCTCGCTGGTTTTTTCAACGAAAGAATAAATATGCTCTATCGACTTGTGTAAATATTTGTGTTATTTTATTGTGATCATATGACGTTCTGGTACATGGGCTTCGACGATTGTGGCTTGTTATCGTGGGAACTGACTACAGTGGCGGTTTGTAGTCGGTGGCGCCGCGTTGGTTCGTGTTTCTGTCTTCTGATTGGTTGTTGCGAGTCTTGCTCGATTTCCTCTAAGTCTATAGTTCTGACATTTACTGGATCTGTGCCATTGACAAGCATCCGGTTCTTGTGTATTGTGCGGTATATGTTCGTGACGGTGTGTTCATTTAATTATTGTCTTTCAAATATACTCATTCATGGGTTATGTTGCTTAGACGACTTAAACTCGCTGCCTTCGAGTCCCTTGTGAGGGTTTATCGTCGCCCTTGTTCGTCTTCGTCGATCATCAAGATATCGACTCTCCGTCCAGCGATCCTCGGTTTATCCGGGATTATTTTCTATGGTCACGACACCTGCAATCTGTCATTTGGGATGCAGACTGGGGCGCCGAAGGTCTGTTTCGTCCGCGAATTTACTATACACCAAGCAAGTTCCGCTATCGCACCTGTAATGAAGATATCTATCACCATTGTCAAGGTCGTTGGTGGTATGGAGAGTTTTTGGTGTTTCACCTGGGTGACAGTGGTTGTCGCATTATTGATTTTCCGGCAGAAGATCTTGATGCTGTATGGCCTGTCTTGGAGAGGTGAGCATTTTATCTTTTATCTTTTATGTTTAATTCCTTATTATTTGGTACAGGGTCGCTACCCATGTGGAAGCTGGGTGCATCGGCCCTTTGTAATTGGCTAACATTTTTTATTTACCTATCAATGCTGCGGGTCCGTTGTCTATTATTTCTATCGCCTCTATGTGTACATGTACAGTGTTGAGTCTGTCTACTTTGCAATGAATCTACTGCTCGTGTCCGTACTGCTTGCTTTGATGAATTGTCTGAAGTTTGTTGATGTATGGCGACCAGTTCATCCCGAGCTCCTCAACTAGTTTCTGGATCTCTTCACGGCCTTCAACAGATATCTTGTGTTTCAGTGTGGTCTTCAACGCCTCCCATGTTCCTTCAGGGATGTCACAAGGGGGGGATACGGGGAAGATCGCCTTCCTTGGGTTTTGGTATGCTATCCAGGTCTCCTCCAGAAATAAGAGATGCGAGTTGCCTGTCAGTGAAACCAGTACGTCCAGCAAAGCCCCTTCTTTTCGCCAGAGAGACTCTTTACCGCCTTTGCGTGGATAACCTAGCCATTCGCCTAGAGTTACGAGTCCTGAGGTACAAAGGTCGAGTCCTTACGCGCAAAATATGCCTGCATGCTGAACGTTGTACCCCGTGAGAACCGTTTGTGCCGAGAAGTCGTGGGAGTTCTGTTTTGTATTGCAGACTACATTTTGGAAACTCCAATTGGAAGTCCGGTTGTATGTGAGACTACAAAACCACTTTTGGCGCATTTTTGTAGTCTCTGGGACCATTGTTTGCTCATTTGCGGGCTCAATTCTTCGTCTTATCTCTCTTTTATTTTCTCTAGTCTGGGGCGTATGCTATACGGATCTACAACAATATTTTCGTGAATTTATCGATTGTGTGTCTTGTCCTAGTCCGCATGGCGGTTTTACTCTTATTGCTTATCGTGGGAATTGACTATTGCAGTGGCTTGTAGTCAGTGGCTGAGGTGCGGGCCGCGTCGGTTTGGATTCCTGGACTCTGATTGGCTCCTGCATTGTATGACATAGGCTCTCTGCAGGTTCACAGAGCCATTACATCATTGGTATCTGGAATTGATTGCAGGCTGTAGAAGGGCCAGAAAAATTGTGAAAAATGCGGGAAATCCATGATATATTCAGAGCTCTATAGCAAATCAAGGAATATACAAGATGATCCTGAGAGGTCTAGTGAAATTCAAATAATACTTCAAGAAAGATAGGAATATTTGTGTCAGCTCTATGATATACAGTGTAAAATAGGGAGTATCTTATGCCCAGCTCTGACTCAGGACTCGTAACCAGCCATGCACAGCATTGGCCCACTCCCCCCAAGTATATACAGCTCAGACTCTGTACCGATATGATACCGCCCTAGGTGAGGCATCATCATGATGGGAGCGAAGTCGACTAGGCCCAGTTATCCTCCACTGCAGATTTACAACAACTACTAGTATAGATACACATCGGAGTGCGATCGACCTACCCTAGGGCCATGTTCTCGGTCCTTGTCCTCTGCAGACTTGACGCTGATCGTCAAGAATTCTCGATGGATCCTGAAATGCTGCCTCTCATAGCTTTATATGGGCATTGCTCGGGTGTTTGCCACAAGTTATGCATTCACGTCAAGGGTTTTCTTGAGATCAGCGGGTGAGCGTCGTCCTGTCCCCGTCGCATTAATATTGTGACAATACTGGGGCGAGAATGCGATACGCACTCTGACTTTTGCTGAACCAGGAGCAAACGCTGTGAGTTTGGAGCTCCTGACTCTCGTTTGGCCGTACCACCGATACTAGCTGGAATTAAGAGCATTCCTGGATCCCGGCTCACGTTCGGTTGGCAGTCCAGCGTGCAGTAAGCGATGCCGCTCCACCACAAGTAAGTCCTTGTTGAATACCTCCCGAGACGCGCCTGGAAGATATTAGCCCATCCTACTTCGGAGTAGTGTAAGTATGTTACCTCTATAATTATGCTGCCTGACAGCTATATTATACTCTGTATAGAATTGTGCTCATACCGCCCGCACGTGGAGTCGTGGATTTCGTTATCCTTGACTCACTATTCCCGACTTGGACGCCGCCCTGCGAGCCTGCGGATGATCGCCGCTGTGCGCGTCGCTACTGAGTCGCCATATCCTTGTTCAAGTTGCTGTAAAATCACCCTGGCTGGCGCCATCCTTCCGAGTCAGCGTCCGATGTACGAAGAAGACGACTCGTCCAATGGCCACCTCATGTCGATTATTGTTTATTGACAAACGCGCTTACGTTGCAACTTGCAAGTTGGGTCGGAATTGACGTGAAGTTGACTTTGGGGGGGGGGGGGGGGGGGGG